ACACACACACACACACACACACACACACACACACACCCACACACACACACACACACACACAGACAAAGACACACACAAACACACACACACCCAGACTGGATAAAAATGCTCATTGTAAACCTATGTTCCTATAGATTTACATTAAACTCCGTGCTGTGAGTGTTTTAGGGGTTGAGCACACAATGCTGAGTGTTTGACTGGAAGCAGAAGAGGATCTGGGTCACAGGCAGCAGGATTTGACGGCAGCTTATTTCCTGTCATTGACTGTGGGTCACATGGTGAGTGCGTGGGCGCAAGATAGTGGAATGCGTTAAAGGGGTGAGGCTCTTGCCACCAGACACACAGTCTCACACACACACACACAGTCTCACACATACACACACACACACACACACACACACACACACACACACACACACACACACACACACACACACACACACACACACACACAGCTGTACTTACAGCTGGAAACATGCTGTACTAAAGGAAGGCATATAAAATGTGTAGCTTGTAGAAGCATATTTACATGTTTACTTTGGGACACGTATAGACAGAGGTCAGCAGAGGAAGCACACACACACACACACACACACACACACACACACACACACATGCTGTCTCAGAGTCTCACTCTGCTTCCCCTGACGATGGTAGTTCAGGGTGGAGAAAGCGGAGGCGTCGGCTCGACCCACACTCTCTGGATCAGACACTCAGCTCAAGGTGCTGCAAAGGGAACAACAGTCAGATCCATAGAGAGATAGAAGGGTTCAACGGTGCAGCAGTAAAAAACTTTAGCTCACATGCGAGCATAAGGGAAAAACATGCGCCTGCATACACCCACACACATGTGTGCACGCACACTGCAGCATGTGTGTCCAACATTCTATGTTTCCCACTGTTATAAATCTTTGTGTGTGAATCAAATGTTGTCATCCAATCAAATCACTCACAGGCCACGCAGACATCCCAGCCCCCTTTCTTTTGTGCTCCCTCACTCCACTTAACCCCGCTCTCTCTCTCTCTCTCTGCCTCTCTCTCTCTCTCAGCTATAGGCTAACATTTGTATTTACAATGCCAAAAAGCATTTCAAGTTGTCATCCAAGGTGTGACATCCTCTTATCAACAACCTCAAAAGCACCACTGTACGCGCCCGCTTCTCGTTTTGGTTGCACAGTAATTGATTGTGTGCGTGAGAGCATGAGTGCGGGCTTTTCCTGTGAATGATTCATCCATATGACTTGAATTGGTGCTCTGTACAGGAGAGAGTTCCCGACGTCACATGTGAGTTCATCCTGCACTCCAGCATCCTCGCTGACAAAACCAAGAGGCCCTTCAACACAGCTACAGTTGCCTTTTTTTTTGGACTGAGCAAAGAACATGTATGGGAGCCTACAGTATATCACAGCAGGCCACTTACACCCTATGTGGCCCCACTGTAACGACTGCTCCAGACACACACACACACGCACATGCACACACGTGTGCCAATAGTGTGGCCTTGATGTGGGCTGGTGTGCTGTGTCTACTCTGAGTGTCTGCAGCTGGAGGCCAAGGCTGCTAGAGGAGAGGAAGAATGAAAGAGGAGGAAAGGAAGGATCAAAAAGAGAAGAAGAAGAAGAAGAAGAAGAAGAAGGAGAAGTAGATACTGAGGCGGGGAGAAGACAGATACAGGAGTTTGGGAGGAGAGAAAATGATCCAAAAGCAGTTGGGCAGAGATGAAGTGAAAAAGAGTGAGTAGGAGTTTAGGTGGGTGTAATTCATCAAATCTAACTTTATGAAAATGATTTAGAACCACAAGAGGAAGGAGGACAAGATAACACGTGATGACAATGAAGTGGAAGAGGAGGAGGCAGCAGGAGGCCAAGACTGTGGAGGGGTTGAGCTGTGGTGAAATGTGGCAACAGTCACAGACATAAGCTGGGAGGCTGAAAATGGAAAATGTGACATGCTTTTGACACAGCAAGAGGGCCCCCATTTGAGGTTGTGTGTGTGTAAGGGTGTGGGTGTGTCACTCAACTGCTCTGTTCTGGTTTTGGAAGGACGGGCCAAAAAAAGGCCATACCAGGCTATACCATACTCTCCCATAAGTTACTGGTGCCAAGCCAGACCAGACCATAATCCACTTGATTTCAGGCAGCTGCTACTGATTGTTTCATTCATAATAATGTAAGAGGAAGAGCATGAACAGGGACGGGGTTTGGGGATTGCAAAATTTTGCAGACCAAAGCCACTCACTGAGCATTTGTGATACTTTCTGTCACAAATGAGCATCCATGCTGCTGTGAATGAAATTCATGAATTAGATAAAGGTTGTTTTGATATTGTCTCTACCATAGGTCAAGGGTGGATGTACTTTTCTTCCTCGTCACTCACCAGGCAGAGTGTCAAATCAAAAGGTCAGGCCAAAACATGCTCAACCAGAAATTAGGTAAGCTCAGTTTGTTTCTCAATATACCCCAGTCTTATGACAATATGTTGTTCCGTTCTGAATGAAAATACACAACATTTAACATGCTGTGTTGTAATGCTTTTGGCGTTAGTCAGTGCTCTTACATGGAGCAACCTCACTCAAAGGAATAATATAAAACTCTCAAATCAGAAATGATCCAAACCATTACAGGGAGGGGCATCAAAGCATGATAATGTAATAGATTGTTCGCTCCAGTGAAAACCATGTATCTCTACAAGTCACCTCTTCAGCTTTCAGAAACTGTTTTCAGCTTTGTGACAATGCATTTTTTTTCAGTTCATCTAATAGATTTGAAATTATTTACTTAGCTTAAGATGTGAGAGATTTTTTTCAGTCCATTAATGAACGCATAATCCTTCACTTCATCTTTGGAGATACATGATATTCACTTGACAGCAGCCATATATTCTTCACAATATGATCATATGTGACAGATACAAGATAAACTGAAAAGGACCTGAACGTAAGGATGGCTGAAACATTTTTTTTAACTAGACAAGCCGCACAGTCAAATAAAGTCAAGAAAAAATAAAATCTACCAAAGCCACAGAATACCATAAAGGAGTGATTTCCAACTTGGGGGTCTGGACTCTTGAGGGGGATTGCAAAGTAAATCCAAGGGGTCAGATGATAAATGAAATGTCTGCTATCCAGACATTTTTTTTATTTATATTTTTTACTTCTCTCTAATTTTTTACTGTTTTATTGTGAACGATGATAAAAAATAAAAATAAAAAAAATTCAAAGAGCATCACTCTGCTCAAAGCTTATAAACATATACGTATCATGTTGTAAGTAGACATTGTTCCAATTTAAAGTGTCACAGACAAGAGAGGTTGGGAGCCACTGCTACAGAGTGGCCGCATGGCCGACTTTGTCTAGCAAATGATGCACTGACTCCATCTAAAGGTAAAAAGGGAACTTGCAGGTTCAGTGGAGAAAGTCAGGAAAGAACAAATTTATATTACAAATGCAAATACAATACTGCTTTTTACATTTTTCTCTAACAGCAGAGCAGTAACTGAAAGCATCACTGATTGTTTTATGTGAAGGACATTTAACTGAGATCATCTGTATTGCATTACTTTTTCAAATCTAAGTTCAGTTTGTCAAATGTGGACCAAAATTTGTTTCCCACAATCATAATGATTGTCCTTAGTTTTCTCAGTAAATGGGCGTCCCATGATGGAGTTCTTGACAGCAGAGAAAATAATGACTTTCTTTAATGGTGCCATCACCAAACTAGGCACCCATTTACACTGTCTACAATGGCCTAATTCATCCACTCTGCAGTTCAGTCCTAACTTTCACTACATCCTTTCAGAGGATGACCATGGAGAAAAAAAAAACTCTTTTGCACAAGTCACTAAGAGGACATGGTGAGTGTTTAAGTGTTTAACATGTGACTGTTTTGTGTCTGTTATTGTCTGAATAGCAGAATGAAAAAAGAAAAATCTTACAACAAGAAATTCTTTGAAAATTGATCAGAACGCATGCTGCCCTGGAACCATCATATCAGGGACTCTTGGTATTTGTGGTGTCAGAAACAAACAAAACACAGTTTCTTCACTGGAAAAGGGAGTAAAAAAACACACTATTCAATTCAATTAAATTTTTCAATTCAGCATGCTTTGGTGGTTTGAATATTAGGTGAAGAACATTGCCAAAGCATCAAGGATAATAGAATTCAAAAATGAGATGAGAAATTAAGGAATAGGGTACAACTGATTAAGTAGAATAAAATAAATCAATAGATACAAAGAACAAGAAAGAAGTTTGTGTTTGCTTCACTGTGGCACACACGACTCGTGTATAGAGACAATAATTAATTCCTGATTTTTCTGTCTTGGAATAATTTTTTATCCACAGTGCCTCCTCCAGGGCTGAAAAACAATATCAAAAAGACCTTGATGAGAGTCTGTATCCTGAAGGAACCTGAAAGGTCAATAATACGTGTCGGTGTCAGAAAACCAATCCTCATCCCAGTATCAGCCTCTTTGTCTTTTAGTCCTCTCATTTCTTCATCACAAAATCACTACAGACAGAATAACTGATTGCTAACCGTGTTAACAGCTCCCTGTCTGTCTGTCTGTTTGTCTGTTTGTCTGTCTGTCTGTCTGTCTGTCTGCTTTTTCTCTTTTTCACAGCCTGAGGGACTGAAGGAGCAGACAGCTGGTATATGGTGATGTAAATTAACGGCTTCCATTCTGCTCTCCACTATCCTTTTACAGCTTTATGTCTCCGTTTCTCTTTGACAGAGTAAAACCCGCAGCCTTAGGGCAGCTCTCTCTCTGTATGTGTGTGTGTGTGTGTATGTGTGAGGACCACACTGTGCTATCTCTCTGCCAGGTGGACCTCTTCTTCCTCCTGGTGTCATACGGGGAGGGGCCTGGGTGTATGCAGGCTAAAACTAGCTCCTCTTATTTCCCTGGCAAATGTTGTCACCACAACCAGTCACATTTCTCTCCTCCTCCTCCTCCTCCTCCTCTTCCTCCACCTCTTTCTCTTCCACTCCTCTGCTCTCCTCTCCTCCTTCCTCCATCCCTCACTCCCTGCCTGCCCGTCAGAAGTCCCACACATCCCAAGAGGATAAGATGCCATGGAGGCCACAGGAAGAACAGCGCTCTATGTCTACTCCGTCCTGTTCATCTTAACAGGTGAGCGTCGCATGTGAAGGTGTTGCGGTGGGATGTTGTGCTTGAGTTGTCAGTGCTGTGTTGGTGCAGCTATAGTAGTCACTGCGGTTGCTGTGTTTGCTTGGTTGGCAGGGTAAAAAGAAGGGGTGAGATGAGGAGGAAGTTTTTCTTTTTTTTTTTGTGGTGTGCAGCAACAAAATGTTCACTGAAAACTTGTGAAATCCTTTGTCTTTAAAGCAGAAACTGGCTTGCAAAATTCAAAAACACAAAAATAGATCATATGGCGCAAGAAGTGAATTAAAAAAAAAGTTAAACTAGCCATTTTTATATTATTACATTTTGGGCAAAAATCTAGTTCTTTACACAGAAGTATGTGAACTTCTCCACAGCCTTTTTCAATGCATATTTGATACTTTGAAGTGTTCCTTAGAGTCTGTCTTGGTTTGTTTTGCATGTCCTTTTCATAGTCATCACCGTGTGACTTTACAGAATTAGCTTTTCTACTATTGTTGGCTGTTAGGTAAAGACAGCATGATAGGGTCAGTGGAAAGAAGAAGTTACCTAGGCCACAGTTCTGTGACTCAGTGATAACAGACACGTACCGGCTTCTCTCACATGACCAGATAAATCTAACAGAAAAGTCCCTCAAACATGGACTCTCCCCTGCTATGATGTTTGTATCATCAACCTTCCATGAGGAGCACTATTTGTCTTATCTGAAGAAGGACAGAAGATGGTGGCGTTCGGACACGCACCGGGTGACTTTGTTTAGTGTCCAAACAACTTGGATGTGTGTGAGGGTGATAAGAGGCAGGTGCTTGTGGGTCTCCTCATGTAGTTGCTTGAATGTGTGTGTCTGTGTGCATGAACACCAAACTAAGGTATCCTCTCACCTTAAAGAGCATTGTCTCTCTAATCTCCTCTGTATCACCGCAACAATATCTGTGTTGTTTGGGGACAACAGTGGAGGAGCGGGCTCGGCACACTCCCCCTCATTCTTCCTTTTCACCAGATCTCAGCTGTTGTAAACACAGGCACACTGCTGCTACTGACACACACACACACACACACACACACGCACACACGCACACACACACACACACACACACACACACATAGAAACTGGCCTGCAGGCCTGTAAGAGTGGAACGTGTTGTGTGGGGTGTCAACGCTGCATGTATCACTCCACCATCTTCAGTTTTCTGGAATCATAAGCAAATGAAACAGAAATTATACAGACAGAAGTAAGACAAAGTGATACAAGAGAAACGGGAAGAGATTAAAAGAGATTACATGAGACAAAAAAATTAGAGGTTTTAGCGAGTTTGTTACACAGTAGCACTTCCTCCTCACATGCTGATACTCATCTCAACATGGTGCCAAAACAAAGTCCACTAATTCACCTCAAACTTAAACTTGAAAACTAGTTTGATGTTAAATATTCCTGCCAAATGACACAATCAGGTCATATTATCATGCAATATTAATGTTACTTGCATTAAAGGGCATGAGAAAGATATATGTTTAGCGTTTTGTTTTTTTTTTCAAATTGTTATGCAAAATATTCAAATATATATATATATATATATAGCTCAATAATCAGAAATGTATTCTTGAAAAAACATTTTTTTTTTCTATTTAAGTTGATAACTTCAATATGACTGATAACTTGAGGAGATTACATTTATCACAAAAATCGCAATGGTTTAAAAAAGTACAAACTCATCTGTCAAACACAGTCAACATTCCCTTTTCCATCCAAGTTCCTATAAACAATAATTTCCGATTATTGGTGTAAAATTATGTTAAAGTTCCAATAAAGGGGAACCTGCTGGTGGGAATTTGATAACTTCACAGGCAGTTTGTATAAATCATAATCACATCGCAATAGAAAATTGGTTCCTCCCATTTTCTGAAAAATTGCATCAGGGTTACTAAACCAAAAGGAGTCTTTGTGCAGAATAAATTTTAGAACTCCATTAACGACTGTGGCATTCAGACTCCCCTCTACGACACTAAACTATGTCAGCTTTCCTAATGTAATGACAAAATGTAATGTAATGTATCTAATGTAATAATTTAAATAACTTTATTAATCGAGTCATTTTGTCTAGATGAATTTTTTTGTGAAAAATATAAATAGCTCTTGATAGCATTTCCATCTTAGAAAGTAAGACCCTCATGAATATAGTTGTGTTGTTTTACATTTATCCATGTTTTTACAAATGTTTTGTTTCTCCCTCATTTCTTTATTCCTGGGAACAGTGATTTCTACATATTTGACTTGTGTTACAAATTGAGTGTGCCAGTTGATCATGTAAGGCAATTATTTCACATTTGTCACACCTGTTGCTTTGGAGAATGATTAATGGAGTCAAGCACAGTGAACATGTGTTTTTCATCTTTTAAAAAAGAGTGTTGTATCATCTGCAAATTGACTTATAATGTGTTTCCCATAATATTTATGCCCCCAGTCAAGTCATTCTTAATCATAATAGACAATAATTCAGTCAATACCATAAATAATAAATGAGAGCTGTTGCAACATTGTCTAATGCCCCTCCTGATCACCACAGGAGCTGGCTAAGGTGTGATCCAGTCCCTCAGAGCTTCAAGGAGTGAGTGAGTGAGTGAGTGAGTGAGTGAGTGAGTGAGTGAGTGAGTGAGTGAGTGAGTGAGTGAGAAATTCTTCTTGAGTTATTCCCAGTTGTGTTTTCAGTTTGTTACCAGTGAATAAGCTCTCCTGGCAACAAGCCATAGTTTCAACAGACTGCAAGGTGCAATAAATCAGCAGTTAGTTACTTAAGAGAGCCCAAGTGTTTGTTTTGTGACAAGTCAGGATCAAAGAGACAGGCTTCATCCTTGTTTGACAACAATGTCACTCTGTAGTGAGCTGGGTCAATATTAACTCACTACAGTTTCAGGACTTGGACAATTTCAGGACTAGGATACAGATTATAGAACAGACAGTCAAAACATACCTGAGTTAATCTTTTAAATTGTTACTCTCACTCCATCTGATCAATAGCACAATATTTTTCCAATATCTATATCATGTAATTCATGACATAGATGTAATTCATATAGCAACATATGCATGATAACTTTTAATTTGTAACTAAGTTTCATACATTTCAGACATTCCGGACATTAGGCACCTTGGGTGATTATCCCTAAAATGTCTAAATGAGTCTAAATCATCAAAAGAATATATCCACTTTCTGAAACAAGCTTTATATCAGGAATGATGGGCACTGTATGAAGCCTACCGCATATTGCCACTTGTGCAATAACGATAACTCTCTGTCTTTCCCTCTCTCTCATTTACTTCTCCCACAGTCTCCACCACCACAGAGGTCAGCTCTGATTTCATCCACATCCCTTCGTTAGTCCATCATGGCATTGAAGGGAAGCCCCTGCTCCTGTCTGTGGAGACTCGCTTTCCGCTGGCCGACGCTGAGATCCAGGGAACTTGGTCCCACACCAGGCCGAGTGGCAGCAGGACCACATTGGTTACGTTTACCAAACAGGCCACAATCACTGACATGATGTACCGCAACCACCTCCGCTTCGAAAAACCCAATGTGTCTTTAACAATCAAGAAATTAGGCCAGGACGATGAAGGAGATTATCATCTGAGTCTCAACATAGAGTTTCATAACAAGACAGGACTGGTTATCAAGGAGGAGAGAACTGTGCATGTGACAGTGGACGGTGAGTGTTTAAATGGCCTTCAGATCTGATCTGTCCGGTCACGATGACCTGTTTGATGACATTTATTGGACATAGCCCCAAATTTACCAGCATTTCCTGTTTTTTCCTCAGTCCCTGTGTCCACTCCAGTCATTGAGAAGAACCCATCCTACGCAGTTGTTGAGGACAAGGCAAATGTAACCTTGACTTGCTCTGTTGAGAGAGGAACAAGAGTTGTGTTCCAGTGGCTGAGGGACAACATCTTGCTGGGTCCTAGTGACAGATACCACTTCTCCCGAGGCAAAGCTACACTCCTAATCAGTCCTGTGAGGAAAGAGGACAAGGGAACTTATCGCTGTGTGGCCAGCAACCCAGTTAGCCCAGGTCGACACAGCAGGAGCGTGGAACTCAATGTTTACTGTGAGTAGATATAGCCATCGTATTTCTCCTTCCTCTTCCCCCTCTCCCTCTTTTTCTGTTTTATAATATGGAGAAAGGAGGTTTTATAATATAGGTAAAGGAGATGGATGTTGACAGTTCATAACCAGTAGCTACTTTCATGTGAAAGCTGTGAACACCAGAAGCGATCAAGAATAGCAAAAAGAATTCCATAATGCCCAGATAATATTACAGGGACTGGAATCAGATTTGTTTTACCTCCCTGGTTCCTGCAATCTCTCTCTAAAGTCATGTGACTTTTTTTTTTTTTTTTTTTTACAAGCTGTTGCTAACTTGTGATTAGGCAGGATTAACCTAAGTGAACCAACTTAAAATCAACAATGTAGACAAAAGAAGTCAACTATAGTGTGTGATTGCTTTCAATTGCTTGTTATTTGGCACACATTTTGACCAGGTCTGTTATCATTGGGCATATATATAAGGTCAGAATAGCCCAGCCTTTGAACTTCCGATTATTTTCGTTCACTTTCCCTAAAAAAAATTGTGATGTACAGTGTATGGTATGGTAAGGTATGATTTTTTTGTTTTGTTTTTTTAAATCTAATTTGTCACAGACATTAATAACAATACATAGAGTACATCTGCTTTTGTATTTCCTCTTTTGCACTGGTCTCCTGGAAATACTAGGTTGTATGTAAATTTCTGTGAAATCAGACTACTTACTGACAACTGAAAACACGTGGCTGTTAGGGGATCATATTTGCATGGGCGCAGACTTATCTCACAGAGCTCCTCTGTTCTACCATAAAGCGTGTAGACTTTGATACACTCCTGGTTGTGTGAGTTTTTGGTTGAACCTCAAAGAATCTTTGTATAATATTACCATGAATTCATTTGAATGAGTTTTAATTTTTAACAAAACTGAGGGGACATAAAAGATGTAGTACATTTATCCCTGGGACATGCCTGTAATTTTAATTTTTCACTATCTCTTTTAGTCAGTGTTTTCAAACAGTGGGTGTGTTAATATAGTAATTCAGCAGAGAGAACTGTACTACTAAGTACATTTAGCAGTGTCATCAGTTCTGTTTGCATAGACAAAGCATGTTTGTTTTAACATTCAATAACAGTTAAAATACCTCCCTCAGGTTTATCATGTTCACTTTCTATTCCACACAGTCTTTATTAATGTTAATGTGCAACTGACAATGTCTTATTTGTTTTCTAAATTTCTATTTGCAGTCTTATACTCTAGGCATTCATGTTGAAACTGACTGATGCCAAGAACTAACACTGATCTTGAAAAGATTCACTTGGTATTTATACTGTAGAAATCTAATTCTGCTGTTGAGCACAAAAAGGACAAAAATCTTAATCTGACATTTTAAAGGTAGTATCTTTTCTCATTGGATATCTGGAGGTCAATGTACGATTTTACATCAAGCAGTAAAGTCTTGCACAAATTCAGGTCATGTGAGTGATGAAATACTCAATCACCCTTATAGTGTTAGAATTGTTTTCTCATTTTACATTCATTCATTCATTTGTCATTTTACTTCAGCTAACCTGACATCTCCACTAGAGCTGTTTGGTAGGTTCAGTGCCTTGTTCAAGGGCACCCCAACTGTAATTCAGAGGATTACGTGCTGCTCTTGAACCTGGGAACTTGTAGTCAAAAATTCACTTCACCGACCATAAGCCCATTGCTGTCCCATCATGCATTACAATAAGACAATTCATAGTAAGTAACAATTCTGTATAATAAAGCAGTAGCAAACTGTCATGTTTCCCTGAACCCATTGTTTGCCCCTGCAGATGGCCCCTACAATCTGGAGGTGAACTCAGGCCAGGGCCTGCGGACAGGAGAGGTGTTCACTATCAACCCAGGAGAACTGGCCTTCTTTGAATGCCAGGCTGATTCCAATCCACCCAACAGCTATGTCTGGATCTCCAAGAGCAGCAATTCAACCCATGTCATCACTGAGGGCCCGCGGCTGGAGGTGCTGTCCTACAGATTGGCCCAGGCTGAAGAGTACCTGTGCCGTGCCTTCAACAACGTGACACAGAAGCAGGACGAGGCCCAGTTTACTCTGGTGGTGGCCAGTTTAGGAACAGGTGGGTAGAGGGTGGAACATGGCGAGAAGGAGCAGAGCGTGGGTAGGTTATGGGAATCCTCTGAGATAAACACTCTGTAAACAGTGCGTTGTGCCAAAAGCAGAAGAGGTTGATGAACTATGAGAGATATATCTTGACAATGGCAAACACTGGCCAGTTTTGGGAACACCTGGGTAGATGAAATGCTGCAGATGAGGCAGTACATGCACAACAGGTGAGAAGTGAAACCAGGTTATGGATATAACCTGAAATATTCATGGCTATTATTAAAGTCTGGTTTTATCCCTGTTGCTAGGTTCCAGCACCCGCAGCCTGTATTAAAGTTCAGTGGCTGGGAAAGTAAACAGAGGATGACAGCTGTTGTATTTGTTGACTAAGTTTTATAGCATGTGGAGTTTCTGTGTGACAGACGCGACGTTGATATGTTGTCTTGGTGATACTGAGACAGGCTCAGTGATGGCTACTGCTGATACTGGCTATGATTGAAAATGCTGTTTATTGAGTCAACAGAAGTCATGACAGCATTCATATTTTTTATTGACATCAGAATCACTTATGAGCCTTTCCAAGAAATCCTCTGATCACTAACCTTTTCATAAATCTATAGGAGACTTCAGCCATGTTAGCTACTGTGTGAGGTTGTATTTATGCACATCAGTGCTTTAGGCTAAATGCAAATATCAGGAAGCTACTGTGCTCACATTGATAATGCTAACATGCTGATATTTAGCAGGTAATATTTAACCAGGTTTTAGTTCAATCTGTTAGTATGCTAAGATTTGCTAACTAGCACGATATAAAACAAAGTATTGGACAACTTGCAACACTGACCTGATAATGGCGATAACCTGATATATCATTATAAATAAAAACCTTATAAGGACCTTGAATATCTATTGCAAATTTCACAGCGATCCACACTGCTAGCTCAGCTAACATGAGTGTTAATATCAGTTTATCCTGTGTTTGTTCATAGGGAAGGAAAAGCACACTCAGGAGGGCAGCTCTGTTTCTCCACTGGCAGCCATTACTGTCTGCTCTTTGTTCATCATCGGCTGTATGCTGCTGGTCTTCCTCAGGAGAACCTGCCATCCTAAGAGAGGTAAGATAATGTCCTTTACTGCTGCTCTGTCAGTGGTTTTCTACCAAGTATTACTTGTTACCTCTGATTAACATGCTCCAAGCTTGAAATGTAGATATCTGAATAGCTGCGATCTGAATATCATGGCTGTTAATCTTCTTCTTTTCCTGGTGTAAGATAACACTAACGGCTCGCTGCACCGAGGTCTTATATATTAAAGTTAATCATAGATGTAAATAACTTGCAAATGTTAGTCAAACTGAAGGTAACCAGGGCAAAGTAACTACTGCTTTTGAATAAGTCAAGGTGAATATTGTAATGTTATTCCTGTATTTGTGAATAATGATTTCCCTCTGTTTTTCTCTCTGTTACTGACAGTTCTTATGAGCATTTACAACAGGTAAGAGCCTTGAATATGAAATAAATACAGACACTATTCTCTGTGCCTTTAATCTACATACTGTAGAGGCTTTAATTAACTGCTTTATTTGCCTGTTTTCGGCAGACCACTTTCAGAGCAGAAAAGACCCCATCGTTCAGGTAAACTACTGCTTGTTACAGATGTGATTAAGTATGCTTACATTATATTTACATATACACTTATCATATGTAATGTGAAGTATTATTGTAGCGAATGATGTGGAAAAAGTGCTGTGGTTTTTCGTTAAACTGAAAAACAGAGCTAGGTTTTATGGTGTCATTACATTCATCATGTCACTGTGAAGTTTGACAGAAATGCTGTTACTGTAACTGAACAGTTGGTCTGATATTAAAACTTGTGCATCAGTAGGTCACGAGGATGCAACAGAAGACTTTGGCATCTACGAGTTTGTCTCCATTCCTGGGAAAATGGAATCTGCGCAGGTATTAAACATGTAAACGAACACCAACCTTCATTTTGTCTATGTGTTTGTGTTTTTATGGTTTTGATTTTCCTATGCGACTTCACCTCCAGGTGTCATGCAGATCTCTGGCCCGCCTCGAGTCAGTTCAGGATATGCACACCACCATCTATGATGTGATCAGACATGATCCTGAAACCCCCAGTCACAGTTTGCTGGAGTAACATTCAGCTGGAGAGTTGAGATGTAACTTACAGTCATTTCACTTGAAGACTCTTTGTGTAGCTTTAATTTCTTTAGTCTCTGATATCAAAGCCTGAAACACTGGATTTGGTGGCCCAATTTTTTTGCACAGGGGATGAAGGAGACTAGTGTGAGTATACAACCTGATCGTGCACTGTTATTGTCCAGAGTTTGGGACAGACGTTAAATGTCTTTTGCTGACATTATTGTGATATGAAAATGTGTGTATGAATGGCTTGATTTTTTATGTGCAAGTATAACTGAAGATGGAATTGTTTAGTTTTTTTCCCATTCAAAAATGAAAATCATGTTAAACTAAGCAAGTTAGTAGTAGCTATTTTTACATTATTATGAATATTTTATAAGGTGCTTACAAGCTAAATTCCTGCACCTTGATCACTATTTAAAAAAATATATCTAATATTTTAATTATTGAAGTTTTATTTGCAAGTTCAATAATATCTTTGTAATTTAACATTTTCCCCCAAAGAGAGTCTGGTTTATGAGAAGACAAGTGTTATAATGAATGGATTTTCTTGTATTGAATATATTTAGGTTAAATGTATATATTGTACATGGACTACACTGCAGATTCTTTATACATATTATTCTATATCTATGTTTTGCTGAAATCTATTTATTCCCATAGAAACTCTTAACCCTGTTTCCTCAAATGTAGCATTTTCTTTCTGCTCAACATAGATATAATGAAATGCTGAAATAATTAATAACTCTTAAATTATTGTACAGTTTGTTTTTTACTTTATTAAAGATATAACTGTTTACTATTTTGGTTCATTTTTGAATTTGTGATTGTTGCCTACAATCAGACAAAGACAGTGTATATCATTTTATAATTTCTGCAATTAATATTGGTATTTTTCATTATATTTGTCATTTTCCTCAAATGGCAATAAATGTCAGGGCTTAAAATGAACATACTCTATGTCACAGATCCTAAAAATATTTGATGAAGACAGCAAAGATGTCAGTCGTTTTGTTGCTTCACAGTGAGTCTTTGTCTGATGTCCTGGCTCTGATCTCTTGTCTATGAGTTGTATGAGTTGTACTTGGTCTCCCGCCATTGCTGCAGAGTGTTTGTTTCCCTCAGCCTGGCTGCACTGGTTGTCGTGTACCTGGCGAGATATGGAGACAGGCAGCAACAGACGGATGGTTCAGCATGTGGCAGCGTGCCCTCCACCTGCTCCTGCTGACACCTTGTCACGAAGAGATAAAAACGTGTGTGCTTGTTTGTCTATGTGTGTTTGTGTGTGCGAGAAACAGAGAAGAGGCAGAAGGAGAGGGAAAGCTGGTGATACAGACGAGCATGGAGAGAACCAGACACAAAGATGTTTGGTTAAGAAAATAGAGGTCAAATTTTATCTGCAATTTGCAAAATTTATTAGAGACTGCAGAAGTTAGTTTTTGTTCTTTCCTCTCATTTTGAACAGCGTATAACTAAAAGGCAGGAGTCTGCCTTCTGCTATGATGCAGCTTATTGCCAAAACACTGAGTTGTCCCCAATATGTCACTCTCATGCTGAATGCTTCTATTCAGTCATTAGAAAATACTGTGGCACAAAACTTGTTAATATTCAAACTTTAGTTAAACTAGTATAGTTTGTTTACTGGTGAGTTTTGAAGAGATTTCCAATATGCATCAACATGACAAATTATGACGTTTTTACTTGTTCACTGTTTAAGGATAATAAATTGTCTTGATCTCAGCCATAAAGTGCTGCTTATCATGATGCTCCCCTGCATAACAACAAGCGGTTTATTGAATCTAGCTCTAATTATAGTTTGTGAACTGACCAACTGAGTGCTCTGTGTCTTTGTGGTGGCATCTCCGGGTAGAGGTTGCCATCTGTTCCGTCTCTATGTATGCTTTAAGGGAGAGGTCTTTGCACTGTAGATGACTGCCTAACAAACAACAGTGGTGAGTAAATTCACCTAAGGAGAGTGACCTCACCTTCATTTGACTGGGAAATAGCCTGAGGCATCATTAACCAGGAACTGGAGCTCACAGTGCCTGCTGTCTGCTGCACGCTGCCTGCTATTAACCAAGTGCTGCTCAAAATAACACCTAAGGGAGCAATTACAAAGCACGCTGAATGGGTCCATGTTTCTGCACCGTTTTGGTAATTATTTGGAACAGTTTAGAATGCAGAGCCAGGTCTAATTGCTTGGCAGAGATGGAGCTATATGGCACAGAGTCATGGACGCCCGACATGATGACATGATCACTTTTGCTGGTGAAAGCAAGTATGGTTTGCTGAATGATGCAGCAGCAAGAGAAAGTTAGATAGTGTTGATTCCATATACTGCAAATTCATGATAGAAGAAGTACTCAAATGTAAAAGTAACAATACCACAATGTAAAAATACTCCATCAAAAGAAAAAGTTCTCCATTAAAAATCTTAAAAGTACAAAAGTATTATTAGCAAAATAAGTTAATAAGTATCAAAACTGCACATATGCAGAAAAAAGGCTCCTGTCAGTGTTATATTATTACTTTACATATAGGCCTACATTATATTACATTATACAATATATACACTATACATTATACACTATACATTATATTATTGTAATGTTATTATTGATGCATTAAGTAATCAGTGTTTTAATGCTGTGACTGGTAGAGATGAACAAAATGTGAATCCCTTTTGGAAGGTTTAACCGATAATCATGCTTCATTTTTTAGAAGATCAAATATTTTCAAAATACTTAAGCAGTCTACAGTCATTAACTAAATCAGTTTACTTACACTCCGCCACTGGCTATAAATCTGAAAAATCATATGGAGCTATGTAATTAAATAAATCAAGATACATTAAGTTAACCTCTGAAATCTGCCATATGCCTTTGTGTATTTGACTTGTTAAAAGCAGGAAAAGCACAAGTGTTAATAATGACATTAACAATGCTTCTGTTCTATTCATGTGTCCCAGTAAGTCATGACAATGACAGTGACAGTGCCAATAGCAGGACCTGGAGTGGAACTGAGACATCGTTTATTAGGCCTACTGACACCTGTGCTTTTCCTACTGTGATTAGCTATTTCAAAATGTCGCACCTGATAGAACAGAAAGGTGAAATAACATTTTTCAGCAATAACAACTGCTGTCATATATTCTACTGTGAAGTTACCACCATCCAGTGGTGTATTATAGCACATGTATCAGTGTTAATGCTCCATGCCATATGAATTTATTTTCTAATCTTTTCTTTTTAATTAAGAACGACACATATTTTCATTTAAATGCAAATATTTTCAGAATTTTCACCTGCGAGATTCTCACTGAGTAAAAAAAAAAACAACATAAAAATAAACTACATTTCCCAGGATGCTTTGGAATTTTTCCGGTCCCTGCTATAAGAGTCACGTGACAGTCAACTATGGCTTCCCTCTCGTAGTGATGGAGGCACATCGTTAACAACAAAACAAAACTGTGACTTTAGTCATTTATTTGTCCGCTGACACAAGTTGGATTTAAGATGCAGAAGATCAAGTCTCTCATGGCCCGGCAGGTGAGCAGAGCAGGTCCACACAAGCTGAGCTGCTGGCCGTTTGTCTCTGACAGCTGCATGTAGCTAAGCTAGCATAACAGCTATCTTAGCTAACTGGCTAATTTGACAGCTCGTCGTGTGGCTCATTGAAGCGCAGGTTCAGCCGGAGTAACAGCCGCTATTTGAACGACTACAACACAACTACGACCTATTTCCCTCACATAAAGAAAATACATGTTTATAGGCAATTATACCACGCTCTAGATGTACGAGTTTATCATTAGGCAAGCACAACAGCGGGGCACACCAATGGAAACTGGGTGGTTAGGGAAGTTCTCAGTTTGCAAAGCAGTAATGTTAGACCTCACCACTTGACACAACAGAGCTTATCGCTTTCAGAAATCTGCCAGTCGCTTCCACTTTTTGTTGTATGCAGTAGTGTGCTCATGAATAGCGAGCTATGTGACAGCCGGAACAGTTGATAACTGCAATACACGTTACTGTTACTAGACTTGTTGGGGCTTTTGAAGTGTAACAGTGAGTTTGATTTTGACAGGGCCTGAAAAGCCCCCAGGAGAGCATGGCAGACCTCAGTCCTGTGGAGAACCTGAGGATCCCGAGCAAGGTAAACTTGACTGAAACATGACTGAAACTGTGGCTGTCATTTGCACTGTGGTGTATCTTGCATGATGTGTGCTGCATAGTCTTGACTGGACTTGACTTGACTTAACTCTTTTACACCACAGCTAACGATGTGTCTCAAGTAGATAAACTATTTGAGGTAGATTACTACCAGTGTTATATTTATCTGTTTTCATTGTGTAGCAAGTTCAGAGTAGCTGATTGTTTCCTGTAACAGTTAAACTGTTGTTCCTGCATTCTTCTCAATGCACAATGAAAAAACAGCGCATTCTTAAATGATCGATTATTATGCACTGCACTTTTGTTGTGTATGAAGTAACTATTTTGGCAATTTCATAATACATGTAATTTAAATAAGTCCAATAAAATCCAACCAAACTTAAAGGCAGTTACATCGCTAGGTTTGTCACAACATAGCTTTCGGATGGTTTTAGAATTAAACCAGACGGGTTGTATAAATTATGTGTCAGGGCTTTGTCCTGCATGCATTGTATTACATTTTGAACTACTTCCTGCAAAATGCATTAGTTCCATCACACCTACAGGATTTCCTAGGCAGCAGTGTCTAGTGAATGAAGGCTCCCATTTATATCACTTAAGACCACACTTCACATCAGTCTAACACCAACAGTGTGAAAAATAGGCTGCTGTAACACCACTTCAGCATTTTGGCATGGATGCGTTTGGAAATGTGATCAGTCATGCTTAGTCACTGGAAGAATTTGTCATTATCCACTTGTACAAATTCAATTTGTCAAGAGCAGGCAGGGCTAAGCAGCAGAGTGGGTCTATATAATTTATAGTCACTTACTTGCTTACACCTCATTGTACTGCCGGTTGCTGGCTTTGCTTTGACTTTGCTTCTGCTTCATAGTGATGACCTTCTATTAATGTAATTAAAGTAGAATTTGGAAGATGACCAATTGTATTTATTCATATGGCAGGGTGATATCATCCTGGTTGATTCAATCAGATGTTTAATTTCTCAATTTCAAAAGACCTCTCTTTTTTTTTTTTTGCTTGACGTTGTTTTGATTGTCACCCTAGTTTGGCCTGAACATTTATATGTGAGTGAAATTTTCTTCATGGCATGTTTTGCTAATTTACCATTTGAATAGTCTGTATTTTGGTCTGACCAGGTTTGAAAATACTGCAAAAGATAAGACTGAAAAGGATGTGTGTTTCTGTCACTTCATCGATAGGAGTTGCGAAAGATGAAGCTGAGAGAATTTTGAAAAATATCTTTTGATCTGTTGTTGTTCAACAGTCCCGTTGTCATGGGAAAAGAAAAAGACAGCGGTGTGTGATAAACACAATGCTGTCTCTTTTGGAAAGCTCAAACATAACATTGTTTTTTTTCTGTTTGAGCTCTGTGTTATTCTCACAATGAACATACAGCCTCATGAGAAATAACAATGATAATACATAATAACCTAATAATTTGAGGTGATTGTATCATATTGGTGTAATGCATTGTAGACAATATTGCATTGCCGTAGCTAGACCTGTTGTTGCAGAATACCACTCAAAGACATAGATGAAGCTCAGATAAGATAAGCAGTCATTTACACTCCAAGTGTAATTAGAGCCTGAATGAAAGCAAATGGGAGTGCCTTAGGAAAGATTTTTTTCTTTTCATAGAATGCATGTCTCCCCCTGGCTTTGGGATTGGTATCGGTTGATGTGGCCAAACTGGATATGCAGTAATCAAACACCCTTTTATGTTTTAGGCCTGAAATATTCACCTTTGTTCATTCTGGAGTCAAGGTCCACAAGAATGAATGTGCATCTTATCATGTCTGCTTTGTTTAGCTTATGTGATATGTGGCAGCATGGTATGGTAAGACAGAGATATTGGCCAGGATTTAGTTTAGATGTGAGGGTTATATGCACTTAAACTTACTGCTCCAGATCACCCATGTATTGACTCTCCTGTGTGCACTGAAAACACCTGCTTATTGTGTGTTCAACCAAAACACAGGGCTTATTATTTGATGATGTTATGCTTTGACTTTATTTACTTTGCCGCTGGGCTTTTTGGCTTTCAGGAAAATGAGATAGCACCCACACAGGCCAGGCTTTATTTACAGTGGCAGTACAGTAAGTCAGCCCTTTGGAATTATTTATTTAATTTGTTTTATGCATAAATGTTTCCTAAAATATGGTCAGATCTTCATCTAAGTTACAATTCTGTTTAAACACAATCTGTTTTAACTAATAACACACAAATCATTGTATTGATCATGTCTATATTGAATACACAACATTCACAGTGTGGCTGGAAAAAATATGTGAACCCCTTCGTTAGTAACATTAAAAAAAGCTGCAGTCAGGTGTTATAAAAACTTGGGGTCCAAATCAGTGAAACAAGATTGGAGGTGTGTGTGGGTTAGAGCTACTACCAACATGAAATCATGTTGATGCAGGGAATGATTGACAAATGATGCCATTTTGTCATTATTTGGGCATGACTTGAGGGTTTGATAATGTTTGAGTGAGAACAAAACAAACAAGCTGTTGTGACGAGGACTACAACTAATGATTGGTTTCATTATTGATTTATCTATTGATTCTATTTAAATGAATATGAAAAAAATATTCAAAATATTCAATTTTTTTTTATATGACAACAAAAAGCAGCAGATATTCACAGTTTAAATGATGGAGCCAGTGAATGTCTGGCATTTTTGCTTGAAAACTGATTTAAACAATCAAACGATTGTTGACTAATTGGTTAAGTCACTTGTTTTGCCGTAACAGATGATGCTTTGCAGATTTTCAAGCAGTATATTCTGCTTTGTGTTCTCGAGACATTTGTCAAATCTTTGACATGTCATCGACCAAAACAGGTTGTAGAGGCAACTTCCCCAACAGATCTTCCTGTGTAATTACAGAAGTTAACTAACTTTTAGATGCATGGTGCAAAATGCTTAATACTGTTTTATGAATGTAGTGTCGCTGCTGAAGTGGAGCATTTGATTTGGTTGCTTTCACAGATGTCAGGCTGGTTATGTGTGCATAAAGAGGTCAGATTCTTGGCTTTAGTAACAGTTTACCCTCAGGGGAAACTATTCTCTCAAAGAATTTGTGATCCCCCATGTTCACCTGCTGCTGTGTACTTAATGCCCTCCACACATTTACATTTAAATCTGGACAATGAGTCAGGGACCTCAATTTAATAAAAGTTCGACCTTATTCAAGATTTCAGCATGATATTATCCCCAAAACTGTTATACAAAAGTAGGTCCATCGTATTCAAGACTTGTGTAAGAAATTGGTAAGAAATTCTTATCGTCTCATCTATCAAACAAAAGCTAATTCATGCCAAAACCTTTAAATAAGTCACAGCCTTGGCAGATTTTTTTAATTAACTTTTTTATTTAAATGACTCCAAATGGCTTTGAGCTATTTTTGACCACTTTGATGTTTTTGCTCCTTTTGTTAATCTCTCTGGGTTCCTGAGAAAGTATAAGCTGCTTTGTGGGTTCGCACTAAAAACAAACACACCAACAAACCTTTTTCCCCTTTCCAGTCCTCTCTGATCAAAGCTGTTGTCCCTCTGCGAGTCACTTTTTTTAAAGGGATTTTCTGTGTAGGTGTCCCTTAACCTCTTCAACCATGTGGAGCCTTTGATGGTTGCCATCATTACAATCTCATATTGTGTGGTAAAGCAGTGCTTGAATCAACAAAACTTTAAATTCTTGAAATAAAGTATTTTATACTAACTTTTTTATATCTAAGAAAGATATAGTTAGAGCTGAAATGATTAGTTGAAGTAGGTAATTGACAGAAAAATAATGTGGAACCATTTATGTAATTGATTAATCGTTTCATTCTTTTTTCAATATCAGACATGGTTTGGCTCTGGCTTCTTAAATGTCAGGATTTACTGCTTTTCTTTGCCATACATTGTTGTAAATTTAATAACTTTGGGCTAATTTTTGGGCTACATTTTGTGTAAAAGCAGAAACATAACATGTATCTGATGTTGTGAAATATTAAAGTTTTTTTTTTTTATATTTAACTTTAAAGCTTTGGGGGACATGTTGGCAGCAGTAAGTTCGTCCTGGAGGCTTCATTTTCCTTGAGGCGAACAGTGGTAAAGTTACTGCTGCAGGTTCGTGTAGTACCCATTTCCCATCAGCAGGGGTCACCCTCAGTTTAATCATTACACATTTTTATCTTATGGTAGAGCCAGTCATTTACACAGGCTGAGTGCATCGCCTGCTCAATATTGCATTATTTCCTAACATTTTTAGGACTATTGTGATTGGCTTAGTGCCTCCAGTGGGAAATATTTATCTGAAGATAGGGATTGGGGCTAAAGCTGGGAGCAGGGCATGTTTGATAATCTGCTGTAGTTCTCACTGGGGTTTATCAGTTTGACAGTTCGAATGTGTTATGGCCTTAGTTTATCCAATCAGGTTTGTTAGGGTGAGATGAGCTGTTGTCTAATTGTGCGTTCAAAGTCCTGGTTATACACTCATATAACTGCATGACACCAGAGTACCCCTTGCTTTTGTCTCAATGAAAGACAGAGCTGAAACAATAATAATAATAATAATCAAACACTTCCATGTGAAAATTCAATATTGTTATCTGTTAACCTGGCAGCTGACAGCAGTGTTGAAGCCTGGATATTGCTGTTGACTGTCATTTTGTGCTTATGTCCCAGAAGAAAACTGTGTTAAACCCTTGTTTAGTAGCAGACAAGGATATACACCCAGTTCTGCTCGCATGAATATTCAGCGCTGATTATAGTGAGCTGGTTTTGATTTGTTCATCTAATGAATGATTGCATAGTGGAAATAATCGGCCCTCGTCCCACTCTCCACATCCCATCGTCTTTCTCTCGCTGTGTCTCGCAGGATTTTCCATGAACCTCCTTTTGTTTATTCAGTCGTTTGTTTTATCCTGTGTTGTTGAGAACCTATTTGTCCTGCTCTTGATTTTCCACATTCAGTGAGCACTCCAGACGAATATGTGCTTTGATTCTTTGATAAGGCTTGTTAAACATCCCGCACTTTGGATGCAAATAGATTTCTAACTTGCGCAACGGGATGAGAATTTCATTAATTTGACGAAGGGAATGATGGGCCGTTTGTTTGTCCCTCATCCTTCAAAGTGAAATTTGATCAAAGCCTCAGAGCAGCTGGATGTTGGGTTTGACACGTGGGGCACAGAGGCATATGTTTTGTTTTGTGTCTGTGCTGCGGCAGTGTGTAGCCCCTCAATGAGTCATTCACTTAAAGAAGTTTAGTTTTTTGCACGTCACTGCAGGTAGGAGACTGAGGCAGAGGGAGGGAGAAGGGAGAGACTGACACTGGGGAGGTGAATTGCCCTAACCATACTGGAGAAGCTTCACAGGAGAGTCATTGTCTTTTGTGTTGCTCATTCCTCTGTCTTTTTCTTTCTGCTCTGACTTTCGCTAGCAGTGACTCATCCGCCTCCCCCCCCCCCCTCCCCCTTTCACTTTCCTTCTCATTTGAGCTGATTTCCCACCCACCCTTTTGATGGCAGAGCGTGATTTCCTATCTCCTACCTCTACCCCTCCTTTCCAATCTCACACACTCACCCACACATTTCCCCCAGGGCTCCTGCTCACTCCTTTACCTGGTTCTAATGTGGCAACACACACACTTGCCTGAACGTCTGTGCACTGCAGAAGCACACAAGCGCAAACGCACACATTTCAATGCTTTATTTATTTTTGTATAAATTTCACGTGTGCTATAAAAGGGGATTTTGTTTGTGTATTTGAATTAAATGAAGTTACATTTTACTGTGAAAATAAAAATTACTCAGAGCAGCATTGCATCAATTAAATGTCATTCAGCAAGACACACTCTCCTCCACAGAGGAAAATTCTGCCACATTGGTGGCACACTTCATGGCCTTGCTGAACGCTTCTTGCTGATAGTTTTTTTATCAGTATCTGCTATCGCATGAGTTCTATATGAGCTAATGCGTTGACTTTCCTATGAGAGATTATAATATGTTCATTTAATAGAGTATGGATACATATAGGGGCGTATAGATTGCGTTTATCCCATAAATCCACATCTATCCTGTTTCACCTCCTTCCCAAGCCCTCTGGTCTATTTTTAGTGCCATTATGCTTTAATGTGCTGATGCCTCATTGTATTGATCCTACACCAGCAAGAAGTTAGACTCAGCATTAACTTTAATAAGAGATTTCTCACTCAGAACACAAAGTGACGCCACCTGGCATGAGATGTTTTCTTTATGTAACATTGGAATGTAATATAATGTACTATTAAGCTCTATATAAGATTTTTAGCCATACTAGTGGTGTGGATCCAGGAATGGCATGGGGTGTTGGTTGGTTAACCACTATGGTCCAGACTGAAATATCTCAGAAACAAATAGATGGATGGCCATGGAATTATGTACTGATGGCCATGTTTCCACGACGATGAATCACAGTGACTTTGGTGATCCTCTGACTTTTCCTCTAGTGCCACCATGAGGTTAACATTTGTGGTGAATTGAGTGAAATGTCTCAATGACATGATGACATAATGACCGAAAGTACAGCTTCAGCTTCAGCTGTACTTTCTAATTAGTAAATGTTCGCATGCTAACATGCTAAACTCAGATGCTGAACGTGGCAAACATAGTCACACTTGTTGAACATCAACATGTTAACATTGTCATTGTGAGCATGTTAGCAAGCTGACATTACATTTAGCTTGAGCTGCTAGCATAGCTCTAGCTTCTATACAGTGCTGTAAATTAAGATTTTGGACACTAATGAATCATCATCATTTTGTGTCAAAACTGACAGGTGTAGACTCCTACAATGGTACTTTTCTTTTGTTACACTGTTGGAATTTTGGACACTGAAATAAAATTGCACAGGGTAAATAAAGTGCACTATATGGAATAGTAAATATAGAGTAATTTCAGACACAGTTTTTCTCCTGTTCTACTTTAACTTAGCATTCAGCAGCTTTTCTGTTACATACTGCTAACATTGTATGACAACTCCTCCAGCTGGGCACTAGGTGTCCCTGTTCAGTTTTTAGTTGTGTTTTGAAGGTGTTGAGTGGAGGGTCATCAGCTGCATGAGCTGCACCTGGGCCGGGTGTGCTCTGCTCTATAAAATCTCCTCGCTCTCTCTGGGGGAGCTTTCCTCTCTCCGGCAGACCCCATGACAGCTGTGGTTTTCCTTTTGTTAAATTTTTTGTTAAAATTGTTCTTCCTATGTTTTCTATGTGTAAATAAATTATTTTTCCATAACTCATGTTGTCTCCCATTCTTGTCACAGTCTTTGAGCCGGGCTGTGATGATAGTCACCACTTTGTTCTTCACCTATGTCTCCACTCATTAAGGCGGTCAGGAGGGGATGTGGGTTTAAAGCCCTTCATCTAAAAGACTCATTGCAGAAATAAGCCTTGATGGATGCACAGCATGTTAATCAATGAGGCTCTAATGTTTCTCAGAGAAACTTTGAGGGGGAATCTCTTTTGAATTTTTTTGGTCATTCGTTTCTTCTCATCTTTCCTCTGAAGGATGCCTGCTATCCCCCGTGATAGCTGTCCAACGAAACAAGCTGCAGTCTTCTCCCAAACCCTATGGTTAATGTTTTCTCCTCCACTTTTCCCCACTACACACCTCTTCTTTTTCCCTTCTTGCCCTTTTTTCTTCAACTCATTTATTCTGTCCTCTCCTCGCTTTGTCCTTCACCCTTGAACTTGCCCTTAAACTCCTCTGTACCTCTTGTACCTCTAATCCTATTCCCCTCCTTTAATGTTCTTTCCCCTTGCATCTTTCCTCCTTTTTTTTCCCGTTTCATCCTATTTCTCTGTTTCTCTGCTTTGATGTCATTTTCTTGAGGTTTCATTAGAGTTTTTGTTTGTTGTTTTCATTAATTGGGAAATGATGTAATTCTCTGTTTTGGACATTTTTCTGTTTGTGCCTCAGTGTGTCTGGAACTTTCTAAAGTGCTCACTTTTTTTTAATTCTCTTTTTCTCTTTTTGTTGCTGTCTGTCTCTCTGGGTCATCTCGTGTCCTGTCAGGAGGAGTTGCGGGAGCTGAGGGAGCAGCCCATCGACCCCCAGGCGGAGCAGGAGATCATCGACAGCATCGAGGAAGTCTACTTCTCTAATGACTCTTTTGACATGGTGCAGCACGAACTGGAGGTCAGATGCTCACTGTATGAATGAGCAAGCGCTTGTGTTATTGACTGAATGAGCACCACTCACCTGTGAAATGATGACAACAGACTCTCTCAGACTCTCACAAGTTCACACGCCCCCTCAGTGAAATAATAATTCCAGCTAACCCACCACATTTCAGTAATTCTGATAACAGCAATATTGCATTTCTAATGTGAATAAATATGGTTCCCCGTGCTTTGAACCTCATCTGACTGGCAGAGTTAAAGCTCTGTCTCACCTGAGCTGCTGTCTCTTACACTTCTGCTCAGCTGCATGCATACCATTGACATCTGGATTGATGGATTGTATCGGCTCAACAGAAGAAGGGTGTGAAATCTCATTAGATTTATCTTGGTATTGCTACACCATCTGAAATGAGACTCTCAGTCAAGGGGAAAGTAATTACCTATCATCCTTTGGGCCATGGATTTGTAATATCTCCTTTTCCTAGCAGAGTTTGCTCGCTGTTTACAATCTCCACCTTCTCACCTAATCTGACTTATGATCTGGCAAAGTGTAGTTATTGAGCAAAATCTTTTTGTTTGTTTGTTTTTTTTTCCAAATGGAGGAAGAACTATCTTCAGTCACACCAGTGAAACAAGCTTAAGCTCGCTCTTTGAAATGACTAGTGAGATTTGAAACATTAAGATGCTCCTGAATGAAGATTAGCTCTTTTAAGAGCCCTGAGCCCTGAGCACCAGAACTGGGATACTGCTGTAGTTCTTCTTTGAACATGTTTTCTGTCTGACACACACTTAGCACAGACTTTTACTACACTGAATAGTAGACAGCTCCAGTATGTAGCTGAATAGAATAATCAGAGTCCTGCCACCTGTGTTGTGCGTATGTGTCTGCAAAAGTCCCAGGTGCTTTCACCTGTGTAGCAGGAATCTTTTGTAAACAAACAATAAGGTTGTGTGTTTCTGTTTGGGTGTGATTGTAGAAACTCCCACCTGAGCTGAATCTGCAGGAGCTGGAGGAGTATAGAGACAAACTGAAGAGACAACAGTCAGCAGTACGTATCTAGCCTTCTCCCTCTCTCTTTCCCTCTTCCCTCTCTCTCCCCTCTCTCTCTCTCTCTCCCTCTCTCTCTCTCTCTCTCTCTCTTCTTCTCTCTCTCTCTCCACTCATACACCACACACATCCACACCCCAACACACACACACACACACACACACACACACACAGAGAGACACACACACACACACACACACACACAGCTATCAGGTGAGAGACCCAGCCAGTGTATTTCATGGTAATTTCTGACATTTATGTAAACTCAACAAGTCAAAAGAAGTTTTAATTGAAAAAAAACTTTATTCGGGAAGTTGGATAAATACACTGTTTTGTTAACTAAAAAAAATTCAAACTCACCGTTCACTTAGCAGCTTTTTCCAGAGGTTTTGACTGTATCACACAGTCTTCATCTTTGTGATTTTGTTATTAATGCCTCCGTTAATTTTTTTTTGGTGAGAATGTGTTCTCCACTATACAGTAGATGTGTGTAGTGCATGAGATTTACAGATATCGTTGTATTATTCTTTAGGGAGCAGCATTTTATTACTGATCGGGGTTAAATGTGATTAGAATCTTCAAATTTGATAATGATCACTGACTGATTTCTGTTTTAGCTTCTGTTCTAGCATTTTACAGCTATCCATGTAATTTTGAAAGTTGGACTCACTACTCTAAAATAAATTCTAAGAAGAACTATCATTTTTATTGGGATCAGAGTGTACTCAAAACTGGGTAAAAAATTAGACGTCCAAAGTTTGTTATTGATCGCGGTTGAAACAATTTCACCTCAAAGTCCGATTAGGAGCTCTTCTAGAAAATCTGGTGACCGAGTCAGACCTGCTCGGAGTTTGTGCTTTGTGCCTGGGTTATGATAGCATGATAGCAGACTCTTGTGACGTCAGTGACTGTGTTTTCCTCCTGTGGCCACAGCAGGGCCACTTCCACAGTGGCCATCATTCAGAGGTCACTCAGGTGCTCGCTGTTGCAGACTGGGTAGCTGGCCTGTCAACAAATTCTATTTATGGAAACATGTGGGAGAGAAACTGGCTCTTCTCCCCTCTGCTCCCTGAATCCCTACAGTCCTCTGCAGATTTCGCCCACTTGCCCTTTTTCCTGACAAGCTTCTGTACTTTCGCACACCTGTTTGTCTCCATCACTCCCTCAGCCCTGTGCCACATCTATTCCCTCCACGCCTCCTCTTATCCCTCTTTTTTATACACGTTGCTCTTCCTCCACATCCCTTCTTTTGACATGTTTGGCAGTTTCCCACAGAGCTGACCGCTGAGTTGAGAGGATGCTCCCAGTTAACGAAGCCTAAGAGTACGCAAATGTAGTCTTGCACATACCCTCTCTGCGTCTCTCTCTTCCTCTCTCTCTGGCTGTGAGCCTGCAGGCGCCTCATGGGAATAGCCATGGTAATTGGTTGAGTGTGCTGTCAGCCAGAAAATCCACAGCTATGTTTCTCAGCATGCTTATCAATGCAAGCCTGCAACCCTGAGTCTATATGAGCAAACACTCTACCTGTTTGTCTACCTCATTACCCTGAGCCTTTTGTAAAATATACATCCTCATTTATATTTATTTTTTCAAGCTAAATTTTCAGGTCTTTTTTTTTTTGTAATTATCATTATGTTGTCTCTAAAGTTATGTAAGCACCAATCCCTGACAATTGCAGTTGTATATAGGTTAAAATATCCAAGTCTATTACCACAGGAGTTCAAATCAGTGAATAAAAAACAGGAAAGATTTCATTTCATTCATCTCTTGGACATTTTGAGAAAAATTACCATGAGGTGGAGATTACACCTGTAGCCATTTATAAATAATGGCTTTCATTTTAATACCGTTAATAGTTTTGTCCCTATCTCTCCAAGACACAGTAGATGGGTATTTGATATTGGTAAAACAAATTGAACTAGAATTACTACTTTGTGGTCGTACACCTCTGTCAAATTTCTGTTTACAAGCATGTCTGTCTAGACTCATATGATATACTGTATGTAGTGAAGACTTTGAAGGAATTTGATAAAAGGTATTCAGCATATGAATTCTTGAGTTATGGCCTAAAGCAACCGTGTACAACGGCAGGGCAGTGATTCTTGTTTTGCTTTGATTTGGTTCAGTCTGGAGAGTTGTAGCTTGATATCCAGTGAAATCAGAGTTACTTTATGCATCACAAATGAGAGACTATAGTAAGTTTGAAATATGCTAATAGAGTATACTTTAAAGAGGCTGCTGAATTTTAATTTCTAATCCATAACACGTTTTTAAAATTTTTATTTCATACATTTGAATGATTGTGTACATGTTGTGGTTCACCAAACTATTGCTGATCTCCTGCTGCTCCTGATGGAAAGTCCATCTCTATGGGTGGGCAATTACACAGATACTGACTCGTCTACCCATCCACACACACTCCTGAGCCTCCAAAGACACAAAGTCCTCAGAGTGTGAAGCAGAGTTTAAGCCCATTTTAGACGCGATAATAGTGCTTTCACTTTCTCACCATGAGGCTGTCCTGTGATGGCCTTTCCTCCTGGCAGATGATGTGGAGGGTCTCCACACACTTCGTCTGTGACGCCATTAGTTAAGCTGTAAAGCAGCTCGACATAGGTGTGCTTGTGTGTGTGTGTGTGTGTGTGCCTGTGAGTGTCCAAGCAGGTCTATGAGTATGTGAGAAGAAAACGAGAAAGATGCAGGACTGTACCAAATGTACTGCACGTACTGATTTCTCTGTTTACCACTCTTTTTTCACTTTTGTGTGTGTGTGTGTGTGTGCGCGCTTGTGTGTGTGTGTGTGTGAACTTTTGCTTCACTTACGCTGACATTAACTATCCTCTCTACTTCCTTTTTCTTTCCCTTCTCTCTGCCTGAATCATCTGCTGTAGGGTAGACCAGGCTTGCTGTGGCATTGGGAAAGAGAACAACTGCCCTGTTTTCTCTGCCACAGTATCCAAGCTTAATTGGCATTTTTGACACACGCCTGGCAGAGGCTCGTCTCAGGGCTAATTGTCTTTTCGCGCTGCGAGACTTCGGCCCGTACGAAAAATGTCAGGGTTCAGAGACAGTTTGGTTGTGTGTGGCTGTCACAATTCCCACGTCAACGCATAAATGCTACGAAGCCTTAATTAATGTGGACACACAAGCTTGTATCATATTCTGAGGGCTCTTATCAGCTGTATTCTTTATCTGATGCAAAAGCTGAACAACTGTTACCATTAACATTTCACTCAAGACCTTAAAATCTTAATATACCCCCTGAAGATGTGAGCACCAAGAATTTATCTTCACATGAACATTATAAAGTACATGCAAATGTGTTTTTTTAGGGTCAGCTTAACAGGAATGTAACAACATTTTGCATTTCAGTTCCCATCCATCTGAAAGTGACTTTCCTTGTCTGAATGTAGACTGCAGAGATGTCAGAGGAAGTGAATGTTAATAACGTGGATGAGCATATTCAAATTTTAATCAAACTTGAAAGCTAGCAATGACTGTGCCTCCTGCAGAAGTAATGAATTCTCCCACTCTGCTTGGTTTTTTAAAAGTTAGCAATGATTATGCAACCTTTGCCTAAATCGTGCCTGAATACCAAATTCCTCCCTGTGTTCAAATCAGGCTGAAATGATGTCCCACTGTGCAGACGAAGTTTAAGGTGGTGTGTGTGTGTGTGTGTGTGTGTGTGTGAGTGAAAATAGACCATGAGAAATCACATCCTTGCATGAAAAAGTGACATCCACAAACGGCCTCAAAGCAGGGGCGCAGTGGTATTTTGAAAAGCAAGGAAGTGCCCCAACACCCCATTTAGTGGTCAGTCTGACAGAATATGACACTGCATAAGAGACATCGAACCTTTGAAATAAATTTTCCTAATGTTATTTTCTCTCCTTACAAGTGAAGAAGCAGTGCATTACCAGTGGAAACCCTCACTCTTGACTTTACTCTTTCTCTGTCCTTAGCTTTCTCCCTTCACGACCTTCACTCTTTCTTAGCTGCTTGATCCTACTGCTTCCCCTAATAAGTGCTAACTAATTTAACTCTAATTGCCTTATACATCTCAATAAACATCTTTTAAGACGTAGCAAACATGTTCTTATTCAGACACATTTATTATAAGCCTAACACATATATCTATAGTGTACATCCTTCGTGCTAATGAGCAAATGCTTGAAACTGTACAGACACGTTCAATCTCTGTTAGCAATGCTTGCATTCATTATCTTTTTCTTTCCAATAGATAAATATGTGTTTGAGCTGCAGTATGTAGTCTGCATTAGGCATCTGTCTTCTCCTGTGACTTGGCTCATTTTTTCTCATTTTTTTCTCATTTCTTTCTGTCCCTGATGGCATGTTAGTGTCCTTATAGGGAAAAAAAAAAATAGTATTCCTTGTCTTTCTGTGTCCAAGTTGATGATTGTTCATTATCGTTTGGTAGTTTTGGACAACATTTACTCCATCTGCTACAAATTACATGCACTGTGTCTGCTTTCCAAACTTAGTTACTGCACAATTAGCCTCCATTTGTTTATGTGAGTGTTAGCTGAGAATTAATGACTATGGCTTTGTCACTCAGGTAGGAGAGTTTGGTTACTCATAGTTGGAATTTCATTATATGCTCAGATTCTTTCACTCTTTGAAAAGTTTAATGTTTTGTGTTTAAGTCAATAGATTGCCAACAGGTGGCGCTATGGCATTATTTTGAGTCAGTTCTGTGAACTGTTGTCGGCCCATCTTTGGCTTTCTTCAATGTAACCCCTCATCTTGGTTTTTGTTTCTCCACCATTTCCTTGTCCAATTTCTTGTACTTTTTCCAAGCACTGAATATTTTTTCACTATGACCATTTTATTCATGCGTTTGAATGTTAAGACACACAGACACTCAAACCCTGTGGAATGAACAGTTTCAACTAAGCTGTATCCGCCATCTGCTCAGGTCTCCAGTTGGCTACCATGCGACTACTTACCACATGTCGAAATGTCATCCCCGCTCCTAGCCTCGTCTGCTGCATAATAGCGGATATGAACACCTACTCACTTTGAATAAACTCACACTTGCGTCGTAAAACTGCACACTGCTCTGTGTGTATGTGTTGGTGTAGATAGTTCCACTAATGAAAATGGAAGAGAGATGGCTAACCCTAACCACTGTGTGGCAGAGAAAGATAGTTGGTTACTTACAGCTGCTGGTTGAGTGTTTGTCCTTTGTCGTTACAATGAGCAGCACATTCATTTCCAGCTCATGTATTTTTAGTAAGATTTGAAAGAGAGTCAGATTTGAGCTTGATAGTTCATTCTTGACATTGAAATTAATAGTTTTTCTTGTAATTGATACAACCCATGAGCTCTAGGAAGGAGCCCTTACTGAGCATAAATTAGGGTGTAATTTATGCTGTTATTAAACAGACGTTCCTGTTGCACCGGGGCCATGTTTTAAAGGGCCAATTTTACTAATCAAAGTGAGTTTAATTGTTGTAGTTGGTATGAGTCAGCCTGTGAAAACTACTGTATAATATTTTCTTTTATGAGCTTTCTCAGCCCTGATGATGTCTTAAGAATATTATCATTGTTGAGTCACTGTGGGTTTCGAGACTACAAATGTATAATGGAAAGCCTTGCTATCGCATAATGCAAGCCTTGCCTTTATACCCCTTTAAAATGCATTATTGTTAAGATTGTTATAGCCAATTAATGTAAATGTCTAGATTTGGAGGTAAACTGGAAGGTTATTTATGAAAATTCACACACATGAATAATTCAAGGACAGAATAGGAAAAGAAAGCAATCCTGCGGACAGCTTACGATCCTTTTAACCTTTTGGAAACGTGTCATAAGTATTGAATGAAAAGGAAGGAGTTAACCATAGTCCCCCACCTTGCAGTATGACCTTGTTTGTATGGTCCTTCGCTGTGGGAGAGGCTACGATTCATTCAATTTCCATTGACACACAGTGTTCTTCAGCTTTTTCCTTCTCCAGTAAAAAGCAACACCCATTGCAGGGGGTCACACCAATCTCATGACCGTGCTTAATACTGTGCTTCATGTCATAAGCAGGGCACATGCTCTTTAAATAATTACAACTTCACCTCAGCTGTGAGTCAAATTGGTAAAAGGCACAAAATAGAGGAGAGAACATTAGAAAACACAATAGAAGCCGAGAGAACAGAGGCTTTTCTGAACGAAACAAGAGTAAGGCTATTGAGAAAGACATTGGATGAAATGAAACTGAGAAAGAGAGACACTCTTTTAAAAGGTTTTGGCTATACTGCGCTTTTGATACAGACGGAAGTGATTGTTATTCTCGCTCCATCCTCAATAGCAAGATTACACTGGCCAAACTGCTTTTGTGGTCTGACATTTGGAAAGAAGATCAAAATGTCTTTTGACTTGTTTTTTATATTCTTTTCATCATCTTAACTGCAGTGCTCTCTCTCTCTCTCTCTCTCTCTCTCTCTCTCTCTCTCTCTCTCTCTCTCTCTCTCTGTAGGTTTCTAAAAAGGTTGCAGATCTCATTCTGGAGAAACAGCCTGCGTATGTCAAGGTAAGCTTCCAGGGTCAACTCACCACCAGATTAAACATCTGTTTTTGTCTTTTCCCGGCCCAGCCACTCGTCTTAAAAAAGTATTTCATCTGCTGAAATTTTATTCCAGATCACATCACAAATGCTATTTGTTTCTTTTTTTTTAATGGCATCTTTTCTCAATTACATTTTATGAATGGGCCTCAGGTTATTTTGAGGCTATCATGGTTTCAGTGGATGTGATGTGTAGGTCTGCCGCCACCGACCACATAAATTTCTGTAACTATGGCAATATGAAATTTGACTCCATCTGTGGATAAGGAAAAGGGGGCAATAATCTATTTTTTATTCAGAACATAGTCAGATTGTGAATTCAAACTAATCCCCTCTTTGATTGCCTCGTGATGTTGCAATGAACTGAAATGAACCAGCATGTGTGTCTTTATATCAAGTAAGCCATTCAGTCTATTTTTGGTCAGGCTAGACATTACAGGAGGACACATTTGATGTGGTGATTAGGTAAGAATGATTCTTCCAACTGCTTTTATTCACCTGATTTATTTGACAGTAGTGAACCGACGCAATCTCATTCATCTTGGTGTTTAGAAATGCAGCTTGCAGAAAGAGCAACTTTCTTGACCGTTAAGACCTTAAAAATATTAGCTGAGAGTAGTTTGTTTAACCCACTGCCACATAGAAAGGAAGGGAATTTACTTTCCTTTTTAGAGGTTTAATAATCTTGGATATCAACACTTGTTGTAAATGAAACTCCAAGTTATATAAATAGCTAAACATGTCTGTGCACATTGTATGTGATTTGTCGCTGCATTAAGTGGCCAATAAAAGTAGTTTAGTTGGAGATCAAAGATCTGACAAAGTGCATGTTTGTCTGTTGGATTTGATTGAAGGACTTAGTCTTTTGAATTATTGGAATTATAAATCAAAAGACTAGCAAATTAAACCTTGCTAGTCCCATCAGATGGACAGTATGGCTGCTAAAGTTACGAGTGAACGTCAAGTTTGTATTGAGTTGGTAAAGCTTTGTTCCTGGTGAGACACAGCAGATGACTGACAGCTTTAACAAATTTGTTAGTAGTGACTCACAGTGATATTACTGCCATTGTTAAGCCGTCTGAAGGTCAGTGTCTGAATAGTAAATTGATCATTATTTCTATGACCCTCGCTGTGACTCTGCAGAGTGCAAATGACAGCAGGGCTTATTAATAGACGTTGCCAGCGATTTCAGGGGGCATTTCCATTGACCCGTCTTAGCTCACATTCAGTTGGTCTACAAATGCCCTGTGGAGTTCAGAGGGCGCTTCAGTTTCTACATCCTCTGCATTAATATCACGATGAGAAGGGAGTCAGAATTTTACTACATAATTTGCTATCGTTCAGAAAGAACTTGATGCTTGTCTCTTGATTTACAGATTTGTTTAGTGTGTATATACAGCCTGGCAAATATGCTTTATCAAGCCCATTGACCTGGCAGCTGACAAACGCGGACATACACTACATCTCTGAGGCTCCTCTCACTGTTATGTTTTCAGCATTACACCTGCTTCTGTAAAGTGTTTCATCTGTTTTCTTTCTTTTTCTCTTTCCCAAGTCTTCTTATCTCCTCAGTGTGATACTTTATCAAACATGTACACTGAGACACATACTGCTGCAGAGACACAGAGCCACAGGGCGCAATGCCACCTCTCCTCAGTACTCGTGTGCTACGAACACACACATTACTGAACACATAAATTGTGCACACACATATACTCATGCGCTTGAAGTGAGCGCCTGCTAAGCGTCTGATGTGATTCATAGCTATGGAGTGACTAACCTTTCTTCTGTTGGCACCTGCGTCTGGTCACTTGCTGCCCTCTAGCGATACATGGCCGCCGCTTGCACACACGGAAAGGGTCATAGGTGTGAGCAGCCTTCCACTTGTGGAAGGTTACATGAAGGTCATTATCATTGAGTCACTTACAACTGCTGATTATTAATTAACAATTTATATTTTACAGGTGCCCACATTAGTTTTTCCCCTCTTTCCGTCATTTTTTTTATGCCTCCGCACCGGTGCATTATGTTTTCAGGTTGTCCGTCGGTCCATCCCATTCTCGAATTTCTGCATTCACTTGGACTCAAGAATGAACTAATTTGATTTTGGTGGTCAAAGGTAAAGGTCACTGTGACATCACAAAACACGTTTTTGGCCTCTTGAATGTGACATCTAAAGATTGCCTTAAGGGATTTTTTTTTCACATTTGGCACAAACATTCACTTGGACTCAAAGATGAATTGTTTAGAATTTGGTGGTCAAAGCTCAAGGTCACTGTGACCTCACAAAACATGTTTTTGGCCATAACTCATGAGTTCATGCGCTAATTATGACAAAATTTAACACAAATGTCTAATAGGATAAAAAGATTAAGTGATGACATTTTATATGCAAATGGTCAAAGGTCAACTTCACTGTAACATCATATTCTGCAAAAACACTTGTGGCCATTATTTAATGCTGTAACTCAGAAAGGGGAGATTATAACCATATTTCCTGCAGCTTGGCTGGTTGCTGGAGGTAATTCTAGTCTGCCTCTACATTTGACTTTTAAAGTTGACACAAAATTGTTTTCTGTGAGTTCAAGGTGGCATCCGGGTAAACTGCTAGATTAATAAAACAGTTAATGGGGTGATTTAAAATAACTGCCCTCTCTTATCGCCCCAGTTAAAAAGAGACTGAGTGGGTCAACTGCATGACCCTTAGACTTGTCAGGAAAGAGAGATCACTTTGGGTGGAGACGAAGTTGTAATGAATTTGCACCAGGTAGCCCTCACTCAAAGGAATGGTCTTGGACTTGTATTCAATTATTTCCCACTGGAAACACTTATTCATCACAGTTACTGCTGGTGACTTTGTTTTTCGTTCCCCAGTTGCCTCCTTTAAGAGAGATTGGTAATCTGTCCAACCTTGGTGGTCATACCTGCCAATTACGCGGCTGTCTTAAGGTTATTTCATTGGGTACAGAATAAATTGATAGGAAATGGAGGTGGCAGGGTAGTTACTATGTGTGGAGATATATGCTCACATAACCTTTGAGTAAATAAATGTGTGTGAATGTGGAGACATAAACACACTGTATGCTAAAAATGTCAACTCCAGCTGTGAGTCCCTACATTCGTGTGTCCTGAATACCATCCAACTTTGTTTTCCATTCACCTCAGCATGAAAAAAGCAACTAGGGCAGGGCCCAAACAGCAGCACCATTAGCATGTGTAGGCAGGATGGGTAACATGGGGCCAGTGCATAGTCAATGTGCTGGAGGGTCACAGGAAGGACCTCTTATGAATATATGAATAAAGAAGCCTGGGAGGAAAAAAATCTCCCTTGTGAATCAACATCTCTTCCTCCTTGACCTTCACTTCCCACTCCAGAGTTGTGTTTGTGGACATTGGAGGAGTCGAGCTGTGTAGTTTAATTGCACTTAAGTAGGCTCACCTTTCCTGTATGTGTACAATACATACAGATCTACTGTGCACCAGTATTTGTGTGTTGTCAGATAATGGAATTCAGCCTTTCTTTACTTTATCCCCACATAGTGTTTTTAAGCTTATCTCGGCCATGCATACCTGTTTTTATCCACTAAAACCTGACTGACCAATTGCACCACTGTGCACAGTTACTGTATCTCCTCTAACACAAGCTAAGCTGATTGAGCGCGTTGTCTGTCAGGTTAAATGTAGCTTACAGACAGGATAGATGGCTCAGAGCTGTGGTATAACAACAAATTGGAGCCAGAGGCTACATACTGGGCCTTCAGCATGCTGTGTTTGTGTTTGTGTGTGTGTTTCTGTTTGAAGCCGCATATGTGTGTATTCAAGCTGTTTCTGTCTTGTTTTCTTTTGCGGATTCATGCACATAACTCAATGTGTGAATGTGTATGTACATTACATCATGGACTGAGTGTTTGCACAACTGCCGTGTGCAGTATTAGCAGTGTGTTGATAATAAGCGTCATGACAATGGGTAGAGACTGAAGTGGTAGATGAATTTCTGGTGGACACAGAAGAGAAATTGATCCTTATTTGACCAGGTTTGCTCCTAAGTGCACCTCTTTACTCTGCTGAATATTACTGACTGTTGAGCTGAAGTAAACCGATTAATTTGTTTTATACCTTTTAACTTTTCATCACTTCATGTCAGGAGTAGACATGACGGAGGTTTATAGATGTTAATGGTGCAGATGCTGAAGACCTGGCTGCACTGTTCCCAGCTTGTGAATCAGTCTCCTGATGAGTCAGTCCAGCTCTAGCCAGTAGATGCTGCTCAGCGAGCAAGGGCATTTTCTGACGACACATTTTTAAAAGCCACCACATTACCTTCATTTATTAAGAAACTGTTCTGACCATTGTATATGAGCTTACTCAAGTGTCACAAGTGGAGACTTTACAGACGATTACTTATAAATGTTTGAGTGGTATTTGAATTGTAAGGGTACCAGTGTGTTATATCAACACCATTTTTCTTGAGCATATAAAAAGACAAAATTCTGATAATGATTTTCATAATAGTGGGTGTACTAGTACCTGACACTAATACTGAAAACGAAGTGTAAAAACTATACGTTGAGGTTTTATGTAGGGTGCCAATACATATTCTGTTATATAAGCTACTGTACATAAATCCACAATGTTCTTTGTTTATGTCAGGATTTAACAAATGCAGTATTATGTGCTGTTAGCTTTAGTGGTAGTAGTAGGTACATGGTAAGCAGATAAGCGTATTTCCCAAATTGTCAAAATATTCCTTTAATACATTTTAGCTTAGATTCAGAAAAACAATCTCAAGGTTAAAAGTTGATCTTTCTGATAATATACTGTTAGCTTGGACATGAACCTAACGTTTTTAAAAGTCCTCATGAAATATTTGGCCCCAAGCAGAAAAGCATAAGACTCGCATGGTGCATGTCCCCTCAGAGAAAACCCTGGCTCTTGAATCAACCCTTGCAAACTGTTCTGAGGACTTGTCAAGATCTTCGTCAACACTCGAGATCATGAGGGCAGATTGGTTTGAATGGGATCATTGATCTCGTACCCACAGCCATGAAGTGCCACTTGTTGATGTTGTTGTTGTTTTTTTTATTTTTATTACCGTTGAAAATGAATTTCCCCAGACTATATTCTATTGGTAAAAGGTTGTTTTATGTCTGACAGTGTTATGAAGACTTCTTTTGTGAACACTGGACACTTTTTTTGCGGAGAGGTGATACAAAATTAAAAAAATAAAATCAAAGGACAAGCATCTCCCACCTCAGGCATGACATCTGGCAGATCCAAGAAAATAATAACACAAAGAGGACAAGAAAAGTCGAAAATATAAACAGCGGAGCAATCTGCCCCTCGGCCCTACTTTGGCTGAGGGTGTGTTTGTTCTCTGCAGAGGTCATTGAAGTGGCATAATAAGTAATAACTGAACTCTGAGAGCAGTGCTCACTGATCGTTTTGTAAACGTCAAAGCTCTAAAGAAAGGAAGGTTTTCTCTGATTTTCTGTTTTGAAAGTTGTTCTCTAATACACTTCTAATACACAATGGCACAGATGATACATGCCTTAACATAATAACATCATCTATAACATCTGTCTTCATTAAAGACTCGTGGCAGGATGCATCTCTCAGAAGAATGCTCTGATATATGTGCGTTTGCAAGCACAGTTGTTCATGAAAGTGATTGGCTCAGAAAATGGCATTATTATAAACATGTCTCACTGACAGCATCATAAATGAACCAGTTTAACAATATATTGGTGTCCTACTGATATTACAACAATAGAGTATACTGGGACTGTTTCTTAGCACTAAATAGTACAGGTCGACCAATAATTAGCACTGGAATTGGCTGATGACCGCACTGCCTCCAACAGTCATGCACACAGGTCGCACGTCACCAGTTTGCATGGAGGCTACATTCTTGAAGTCAAATTTATGTGAAAACACGCTGTCTTTGTTTTGCTAGCAAGCATTTTTGGTAGAATGTGGCTAGCCATAAATGCAAGCCTAGAACAGCCACTTTTACTCAAAATATCTGTGTGCATGTGATTAACTCCTGATAATAAATCCTAACCAGCCCTTAAAGTCCCCATAAAATGGAACTTGTATGGTTATAAAATCTGGATTTAAGCAGCAGCTTGGAACAAGCTTGGAAGTGACTGCTGGTAATATGTAACTTGTAGTCTTAATGGGCCGTGTTTCGTTGTCTGACAACAAAAACAGAAAAACGTGTAAATGATAACAGCTTTATTGGGAAATCAGCTGTATAGAAATATTGTATATGTGAGAACAGAGAATAGGAGAGAAGCAAACGGATAAGCGCTGAAACCAGCTGACAATAGGCTGAATGCAAATATGACGCAATGATGTCATGAATACGCTAATTGATGTAGTACGTCATCGGGCGGCATTTAGTGACTTTTCCAGCAGGCTTAAGGTACTTTCCATTGAAATCTCCATTGAACAGAGGGAAGTGATGTCAATCCTATACCAATGCTTAAACCTCCCATCAGCCCTTGCTGGCTTGAAGTACTGGTCTAAAGCGACCCATCTCAGTCGGGACTGGCTTTCAAGTAGTGGTGATTTACATTCCTTAAACCAGATTCTGAGAGAGACTGTAGTCCATTGATTTAAACTATCATGCTGCTCAATACAGATTGTAACGGTATATCTATGTGTGAGATTTCCAAGTCTTTCCACTATTTCAGCAGTTTTAGTCTGTTCCAGTGTTTACAGTTACAGTATGCTCCTTTGTCATTTCTCCACTAACTTGGTCCTTTTTCACAGGAACTGGAGAGAGTGACGGCGTTACAGACCAACCTGCAGTTGGCAGCAGTCATTTGCACTAATGCAAGGAGGTAATAGCATTCTGTTACATACGATCTATTCATTAAGTGAAATAGCTCCTCGAATAGCGCATTCAGACCAAATCTGCATACCAAGTGTTTTTCACGTGCAGTTAAGTTGCAGATAACTATTCCTTCCCTTCATATATTCTCATTTATGGTCACACATGACAAATGATTCTGTCTTGTCTGCCTTTGAAAGGAAGTAGCTATCAAAAACATGCCAGTGTACACAATACTTTCTGCTCCATAATATGTTATGTCTTTGTTTATTAGGCTTGTTATTATCTTGTGGCCGATAAGACAAGACAATTTGTCTTAGTGTTCCTAAAAGTTTGGGTAGTAATACTGTATATTTTAGTATAGTATTTCCCTCAGCCCTATCACTTTTGAGAATTTGAAGATGTATATAAAGCTTCATGTGCCAGGTGTTCAAAATGCTCAGGTACACATTCTGATGAACCTGAAATACCAAAAGCTTAAATTGTTCACCCCAGTGATTTGCTGAAATATGCTTTTCTATATAGAAAGTACAGTTACATCAGTTCTAGACCATTACCAACTCATTAACGTATTGATGCTGTTCTCTCCCTGCACTGTGACATCTTGTGTGTAGACAACTGAGTGTTGCGAAGGAGGGATTCACAGAGGCCAGCCTGGGCCTACTGGCCAATCAGAGAAGACGACAACTGCTGACAGGCTTGCTTAAATCTCTGAGGACCATCAAGACGCTGGTAAAATTTACAGACATAGTGTTCACATGCAGCATATTTTGTTCTAAACTACATGTGTCTTTGGTGTAAAGGTCACAAAGATCAGGGAAACATCTGCCTGCTCAAGTATCCTAAAGTTATGGGAGCTTTTTGTTCTGTGAGCCAGAGCTCTGGTTTGGTTCAACCACCAAAACTAAATTAGCAGTCTACTTGCTAACGTGGCTGCCACACCCTGCACAGATTGTTCGACAGTTTGATGCCTGTTTAATTAAATAAAAGCCAGATCTGTTTGAGCTGGGTAAATCTCAGACAGCAGCCTACAAACAACCCTTTGAATTAATTGTGTCAAACTCGGCTACTTAAGGTAATTAACGTATTTCTCTGTACCACATTTCATAGTTACTTTTCTACTATTACAGTTAATTAATTAATGTAAATGACAACTGTTCCTCTGTACTATTAAGAATGAAACCAAACATGCTCTGTTTTAACCATCTGTTCCTTTGCCTTCATCATTTGCTCTAACTGTGAACATTAAAAGATTTAAGCAACATGGTCACAGTTGGAAGGCAAACTAATGCTGAACTAGTTGTCACTTAATTTAGTGGACTGTTAGTCATTTGATGCTGTATTCATGTCTTCTTCCTGTCATTCTTCCCCTCACAGCAAAGAACAGATGTAAGACTCAGCGAGATGCTTGAGGTATTGTAATCCACACACACACACACACACACACACACCCACACACACACACACACACACACACACACACACACACACACACACACACACACACACACACACGCAGAGATATGTTTATAATTGACTTGAAAGGTCAAAAATCTGTAGGGATTCTATAGTGAAAGCCAAACCCACACAAACACTAGATGCTCTGACTACCGTTCCAGAGTATCTGCTGTAAGAACCATTTTCCAATAATAAATCTAATAATTGTATCAAACTGGATCAGAAAAACACTGATGCACAGGAGGAAGTCGCACATAATGATATGGTGTTTATAAAAATGGGTACAGACTATATTGTACATTAAACCCTGTGTTTTTCGAAATTAAATGACCTCTCTTCTCTGTTTCTCCAGGAGGAAGACTACCCAGGTGCAATCCAGCTCTGCCTGGAATGTCAGAAGGCTGCCAGCACCTTTAAACACTACAGCTGCATCAGGTACAGTATGAGCAGATTGATGGAATGATATTTAGTTGTATCCAAATGGGAATGGAATGGGCTCCATTTACTGTAGCTGGATGGAAGGTTTTCTGACCTTTCAGATCTTTGTAGATTAAAATATGACATAAATAAGATCATTCTGAGTCTGATGTCAACTCCTTTTGCGTAGAGGAAACTAGGAAATTGGTCTCCTTTAAATCGTAACCCTATGTTTTCTTTGAAATGCAGATCAAAGAATGCCATATGTTTTTTGTCTTTACCTTTTTTTTTCTCTCAAGGTTGGAATTTAATAAAGTAGTGTTAAGGGTCTGTTTTTTTCCTCTTGTTTTACTCATTATCATTGCCTTGTGGCAATTCCATTGCATTGACCATGACAGTCAAAGCATTTTTCTTGAGTTTTTACTATGTGCAGACATTGTCAATGGGCTTTTAGCTAAGTGGAAATTGTCCACAGCAGGACATTCTCGGTGAATATAAGCCTGCTGCTACCACTGTTTTCTTTAAGCTGTTTGAGGCCGACATGTTTGGAATATGTTTTGAATGCAGCTGCCAGATATTGCCTATCTCCTGAGGTGACTTTCTTCAGTTCAAAAAATAGTTGTTGGATTGAACGGAATTGACTTATAAAATAAAGAGACACAGGGAGGCAGCTGAACTGTTAGGCTAACACAATAATGTTTTTAATGCCCCCACATGAGTGTGATAACAAACCTCTTGCTCTCTGCTCTAGAGTAAGAGTTAGATTTAAAAACAATCAACTATATTGAAGATTATTGTGCATAAGCGTCCTTATGTAAGATTGCTCTCCTGAGCACACAGGGAAAGATGTTGAATACCAGAGGGAGAATCGTCTCTCTCCCTTTGATTTCCTGTGTAATTGTACCCAATTTGTGGCAGCAGGCGGATGCCTCAGTGCTCATTTTTATGTATTGATTAAGGATTGATCAGGACTGCATGTCATTGCTGGCTTCCTCCTGCGACACCTTGTACAGACCCGGCCAGAATATTGTATTGTATAAGAGGTGTGGTGACTTCTTCACCAGCTTCCAACACATACCCATTTATACACAGTTTTTATATTATTATTTTTTGTTTCAAACCAATTTCTTGATTTAAAAAAAAAAAAAAAAAAAAAAAAAAGAAAGTGCCAAAAAACATCTTGGTAATCTTTTGGTAACCACCTTGTGGGCATTGTCAACACTTCCTGAGGGGGTAGTGTCAGCAGTAACACAAAAGCTATCACTTACCACAGTGAATTAACAGTGGAGCAGAAGACAAAGGAGGCTTTGCTGTAATAATGCTATCTGAGTGATTGGGTGACTGGTGGGAAATGATCAATAAGGCAGTATTATGCACAGGGGATTGTTGTCGTGCAGAAAATTCATCCCACTGTTGCCTCCCACTAACAGCTGCTGTTTATTTGTGTGGATATCACTTTTGTTTTCACAGTGTTATTAATTTACCATTAATGGTGTTCTATGTCCGTGATGATGCTGAATGTGCTGGGGTGGGGGTGCGCAGAATAGACCTGTGCACCATTTGCTATCTATGATAACATCCACTGCAACCAGCCTATCAATGTGGGAATGTCATAAAAAAAAGCACTTAAAGCTTTGAATTTCATAACCATCAGTGTCTCTGTATTCACTATAAACAAACGCGCGCGTGTGTGTGTGACAGCTGGCTAGTTATTTGCTTGCCGTCCTCACCTGTGCTTTCCTTTGCAGTATGCTAATGCCACTTCCTGAATGTATTAGTTTTTAACAGTAGTGCATTGATCACACATCTGTCACACTTTGCATTAGCATTCACATAGTGCTTTGGCTCTCTGCCCAAAATTGCCAGAACCCTGACTGCAGCATTTCCCTCAATAAGCAGCCACTGGCTGGGCTGTTTCACTCTGATTTAACCTTGTAGCGCCGCTTTTCCATGTGCTGCTGAATGCCCTTCATGTAGGCTATGTTTCATGCCTGCCCTTCCTTTTGTCCGTGTCCCCAGCCTTTTAAACGTCAACATTGTTTCCCCAACAAGGCACACACAGCCTCATGCTCCATCTCAGTTCATTGTCATGAGACGGTCCACACGGCCAGCTATTGGGCATCTTAAGACCCTCACATGTCAGCACGGTGTTCATAAAGTGTGAACTCCGCTGTGGCAAGTATAACAAAGGTGTAATCTAGCCTAGAGCTTTGTGAGCCCCACAATAATTATATAATAACAACATGTTTCATGTTGTGATTATGGATATGATAATGCTGAGAGGTGTAGCTTGTCACTTAAAGATATTTCAACCTTTTTTTGTTTAATATTTATATTCCAGTTTGCAACAAATACGGGTGTATACGTTTAGTTATTGTTTTGATCGTATTTAATATCTGTTCATAATTATCTGTATATTCTAGAGAGAAATATGGAAAATGTGTTGTTTCTTACTAAACTAGTGTCGTAAATGAGAAAAATGATCTCAAGTCTGCAAATCCATGATTAAATTTTTTTAATTTTCAGCATTTTTTTAACAATTAAAAATAGAATAGGATTCATCTAGAACAGGTTGTTTTAGGTGACTCTCCTCCAGATTTCCACTTCAGCTAATTGCCATTCTAGTTTTGAGGGGAGGTGGTTCGTTCAGGTGTTCTAATCTATTTGAAGGACAGGGCGGTTCAACTGCATGTTCAAGAGGAGCTAAGTGTGGGAAGAAGGGCAGAGTGCCTCTGTATTAACATCTGTGTAAATGGATGTTTGCAGTCTCAGAAAAAAACAACTTTGTGCCGGCTGTCCAACATGACACTGCAAGCACTGCACCCAGTTCACCAATTTATTCAGAGCCACGGTGCCTTCGTCCTCGTCTTTGTGGTTGTAGTGTATGTTCTTTTGGAGGCTGGGTGATTGTGTCCCAGAGCAGATTTTTAAAAGGTGTTCCATATGTAACAGTTTGTAGTAGTGTGTCACTTGTGTTTGTTTTTACTTGCAGCACTTTAGAGATCATGTTAAAGGCCCCCCTGCACTCAAAACAACAACAGGATCTTAGGACATTTTCAAAGTCAATCCTTGGTCTAAACGACTTCTAGTTTTGGGGGTGCTTGCACACATACAAAGTTGGCTGAACCACAGTGGATTTGTCTGCCTCTCCATTGGTCCTCAACATTACTTTTTCAGTTGCGCTTGTGTGCTTGTAAGAGAGAAGATGCTTAACATTTTCATTTTTTTCAATGCCGTAAAAGGGGAAGGGGAGATTGTGACCATATTTCCTGCAATTTGGCCAGACGGTATTTCTAGTCATCTTTGTTTATTTGCAGCCATGGTTCTTTTCATGATGAGCAGCAATTATGAAGGGATGCATTAATTATTCTGTAAACCTGTTATCTCCTTTCCAAATATTTGTATTTAATTGGATGTTCACATAAGCTACTGGAGTGAGTATTCAGTATAACGGACAGACTAATCACAGCTTGTTCCATTAGTGGGCTGTCACATAATAAAAAAACACTGCAGTACTCTGCCTGAACCAGCAGTGCAAGATTGTAAGGGCATGTCTACAGTGAAATTAGCCAAAATATTTTATGTCTTGACTGTTTTCACATCCGGTGTAAATCTCGATGGAGTTGGCATCAATCAAACAACAGATCTGGGTTTTCATATGAAACCCGCTCAACTTCTTTGGACTGGATCCAAGTTCTACAAGGACTCTGATGTAGAAAACAAACAAACGAATAAACAAACAGTTGCAAAAAGAATGTGGGAATCTATTAGACTGGTATGAAATCATATCTCAAGAGCAATCAGCTTTAATCAGCTTTGGGTGTCACAGCCCATGTGTCCTTGGCCATGAGTCTGATCTGTACCCATGGAGAAAGGTCCATAACTTTACTAGAGCCAAAGCCAATGCCAGAGCCAAATATCTAAATGTTACATAACGTTTTGCACTTGACGAACAAGAAAACAATCAGTGCACATTGTCTTCGTCTGTTATGATCATTTTTCCCAGTACTGTTCCCTTTAATCTGCCCTGCTTTCTCACTTGCGTAATTGTGGTTGCTGTTGTCCTTTCTCGCTGTGTTTCGCTCTTTGAAGCCCTTCCCCTGACACTTTGTTGCCTCTCTGTCTACCTTGTAACACGACTGCAGCAAATTATGGCATCTTCACAAAATCTGAGCATCCGGCCGACCCTTGAAGCACAGCACACATTGACTATTTAGCGAGTCAGCAAGTCACCATGGAGGAACTGGCCTCCAGGCCCTGTGGACACCTATTGCCGGTGATAATTGAAAACGGGATGAAAAAAAAAACACCCCTTTTTCTACAAAATTCTATTTCAATCCTCTTGTTCCCTGCAGGGAACAGATTGTTAATTAGGTTTTTCTCCTCATCTGTTATTTATGCATTCTGTCTGATCATGGAAGTGTGTCAGTATGTAGGGAGGAGCTGCATCTGTACACACATGAACACTCATAGGACACTGCAACTAAGTAATATGTATAGCGCATGGACACAATAACAGCAGGTGAACTGGGGTATTGGTTTTGAGTTGACCCCTTGTGTTGCTACTCAGAAGTCCAGAAAGTTCTTGAAGAAGGTCAAGGTTCTTAGTGGCCATGGATCCTTTTTTATGGCATTGAGTGATTTAGTTGGTTTTCCAGTTTTCCATTTAAAACTTAGCTGAGAGTCAGTTTAGCTTAGTGTTTATGATGAGTAATGTTTGTTTTGATGATGTGAAGGGGCAGGTTATTGATCTTGAGTTGGACGGTTGGATAGGCGAGCAGGGTGGGGCCTAGCTGTTAGTACTGTCCATTTGTTCTGCTAGTTTGTAAAATAATAGTTCAACCTTTTTGGAAAATGTAAACATATACTGAAAGTATTTCTTGGCTAAGCCCATGCTGGCTGACTTGGCTTGAGCTGTAGAAGTGCTTCTAGTATTTATGCTAAACTAAGTTAACCGGCTGATAGCTATAGCTTCATATTTGACATAAAGACATGTGAGGCAAGAAAGTAAATAGGCATATTTCCCATATTTTTTTAATATGTGCGTTTGATTTCCTTCACTTCTTAATGTTTACCAACCATTGCTGGGTGTCTGCCCGGCTGTGATGGTGACAGGTTTCTGTTCTAGGAAACTGCAGTGGTGTACCTCACTCTCAGTTGTGTTAGCCCCTGAGCATTGGTCTTGTGAGATGATTTTCTTTTCCTCTCATGGTCTTGTAACACTGTTCAGTTTGTGGTTTAGCTCCTTTTACTTTACCACCCTGCAGTGTGGGAGTTCACTTGAACGTTGTGTGATGAACAGGGCATTTATCCTGTTGGCCTCTGCTCCTCTGCTGTATTTCCTTAGTATGGCTGCCAGAGCTGTAAAGCCTTTGTTTAGCACTCTCCTGGGCCTTGCATATGGACATTCAGATGTATTTCTTCAGTAGCCAGGACCTGACATTGATCAGTTCACCTCTCTGTTGTGGAGCCAGCTTACTCACTTCTTTGTGTGTTTTCTTTATCTTGGCTTCCAGCTATAGTTTCCACTGAGGATACTGACCATACTGATGTTAGCTGAGAATCGTGTTATAATTACAAAAGCCAACTCATTCGATTAAGTTTTGCTATAGTCATGGAGACTGTAAGTAGTTAAAAGCTGCTCAGCTCTGCAACCACTGACTCTGTATTCCATATATTTTGCTTGACTCTGTATTATACTATTACCGCATTATTACTGTATTTGTTTTGCTCTGTATTCAAATTTCCTTGCTTTTAATTTACCATACTTTAGTTAGTTAGTTTACCATACTCAAAAATGTGTGTGATGTATCCCTATGTGTAATTTGTGTTATGTATCATGTCTTCTTTGTATAATTTTCTTAGTGCTGTTTCATCGCTGTGTGGAAGTTTTAATTGTGACCGCCACAGGACTGCAGATGAAAATTAGCCTTAGGCTAACTCTGGCACAATGCATCAAATGGTAACATTTATGTTTAATATTGTACATGGTCCCTTACAGATAACATGACCGCATTAACAGTGTGGCACTGGTGTTTGTCACAATTCTTGAAGTGACATTTCCTTCATATCCCATCAGTCTCCAGTCTGTGAGAAAATTCTCTTCTTGACCATGTTTGAACATTGTGTGACTGTTATTTCACACTTGATGTGCATTCCTTTCCTTTCCTCTTACAGATAAAAAGGGTTATAGTGCATCGAGTTGTGAAATGGCACGCTCATTTTGTTACCTGTTTTGCAAACGACCTGTGGGACTCCATCTGCAGTCTCCTCTCAGTTTCTCCCTCCTCCTCACTTTCCTCACCCTCTATCCCCAGCTGAAGCTAAGATGCTTAATTAGCAATTTGTTAAGGACACTCTCTCCCTTGGGCGACTGTGGTCTCACAAGGCACAACATAAGAGCAGGCTGACCTGAAAAAGACCCCAAGGAAAGCAGGGACAGAGGAAGGGAAATGGTGGAACAGAGGATGATTATGAATGGGCGCAGTGCAGGGGGAGTCACAAGGGAATTGAATTGGTGTCTTGGGATGAGCAAAGTAGTCGTCATTTCTGTTGCTACTTTTCAGCTTTTTGAGTTGAAAGCATTTTCCAGGATGAGGCAAAATCTGAGGACGTTTCAAGGACGTGTAGGCGTTTTGTGCCTTGAATAACATGCAAAGTACATGCACAGGCATGCACGCTAACGCGATTCATAATCTGGATCCCACAAACACTTGAAACACAAAAATAAGACCTTCCTTCTCAAAGTAATTGTTGGGATACATCCATCGTATTTTTGGTCCCTTGTTGCCTTGTTTGTATGAAGAAGCAAAATTTCAATGGTGTCTGCGTCATACTCTGGTTGCTTGAAAACATGTTCGCTGATGCATGGTAAACAAAATCATTGCATTTTTCATAACTGAATGATCAGAATTAATGTAATTTTTTCTGGTTAAAATGTGGATACAGATTCTTAAAAGATTTGCTTGATTTTTGATGTTTCATATTTGGAGTATGTTTGGTATATTTTACTGTTGGTAAAAAAAAAAAAAAGGATTTCTGTGCTTGAACTCCACCTTTCTGTTGGGGGGGGCATTTACCATTATTTTTTGTCATTTTCAAAACATATTTTTGGTACAACTGATAAATACTTCAACCAAAAATGATTAATTGATGAATTGATAATGAAAATAATTATTAGTTGTTTCCATATTCTGGTCCATATTCTGGAGGAACTAACCCTCAGTAATCTTTTTTTTTCCCCCACAGTGAATTGAATTCCAAACTACAAGACACTCTGGAGCAAATAGAGGTATGTGCCTCTCTGCTTTATCGCTAATTCTATTTGAGAGTGATAGCAGTAAAGAGAGTTTCAGCAGTGAATGATATTTTGCTCGAACCTTGTAATTTTCCATAAGCCCTCATCTGAAAGAAGTAATTTATACCTCATTTTGACATTTTGATAGCTTGGCTTTCTCATTCTGGGTCCACCAAATATTGACACTTTCAGAAAGTCATTATTGTGAGTGTGCAAACACAGTAAATTATATCTGTTTCATCTCTAGCTGTGCTGTGATACTTGTGTGTGATAAATGGTATGCAAAGCAATTTTCTCTGCACCGCTGCTGCTGCGCTTGAGTGGATTAATTACTTACACTTTTGTCTGTACACAAGAAATAGGCGTACATGCACACACACACACACACACACCCCACACCCACACACATTGCCATGCATCAAGGTGCTTGTTTGTTTACCTGTCAACAAGAGTTTGTGAATAAGAAAAGCTAAATTCTAAATATATAACACTTGCTTTTATATATATGTTTGTATATATATATATATATATATATGTGTATACATATATATATGTGTATATATATATGTATATATATATATAGTATATTATATATGTATAATATGTATTATATGTATGATAATATATATATATATATATTTATACAACATAATTATATATATATGGTATATATAATATATATGTATATATATAGTATATATATATATATATGTATAATGTATAATGTATATATATATATGTATATTACATATAATATATATATTATGTATATACATATATATATATATATGTATATATATATATATGTATTTGGGGGGCCAAAGATGAAAATTTTCCAACTTTAAAGACAGTGGCTTTAATCATCAATCATCATGAGGTACTTTTAAATTCCAGAGTACTTTTAAAATTCCGATTCACAGTGGCATCAGTTCGTTTCTTTTCTCAAACTACTTTGGGCTATAAATTTAGTTGATGATATTACTGACTAATGACTTTCTCTCATGTGGTTATAGAGAGTTTGTCATGTTGGCTGTAGTCATTGCGTTATGTTTAAGTGCAGGCGTGAGAAAACACGTGGTGACGCAAGGCGTTTGATCACTTAGCCTTTGTCAGCGCTGTATTCGTTGAGCTCATCTTAATGTGTCAGGGTTGTTACACATCCCTGTACTCCCCAACTTCCTCCTAACCTTGTCTTACTTTTTCACCTCTTTTTATCTCTTTGTCAAAAACTTACACTCACACACACACACTGACATCCACATCCAATTACCTGCCCTTGGCCTTGTGTGGTAGCTATACATCTGCACATCTATATCTAAATCCCTGGTCTTAACGTTTATAATCCCTCTCTTTTCTCTTCCCCTCACTTTGCCCTCTTTTTTTTCCTTTGTCATCTGTCTATTTCTGGCTACAGGAGCAGCTTGATGTCGCCCTCTCCAAGACTTGTAAGCACTTTGATGTTTTGCACTACACCAAGGTGCAGCTGGCCTACAAGCTCCTGGGCAAGACACAGGTCAGTGGTTTTCCTCGTCTACAGCGTCACGGTGAATAACCAAACATGACTGGATGTGATGGTCCACTTGGTGTCTTCGCTTACTGCATGCGTCCTGTTGTTTTACTCTGTCTCTCTCTTATTTAGGGGCTTTTCTGGGGGATGTTTTAGGGGCTTGACAGATGATGTCAGCATTTTTTAATTTCTAAAAAGTTATTTTTGTTTATCTTGGCTTTCCCCCTCCTTAACATTATTTCAGCAGTGTTTCCATTCAGACTTTGAAGTTGTTTCCTTATTTTCTCGACCTTTTGCCACCATTTGGGTTAGAACAGAATCTTCCACAGACATCTGGTTAAAACAGCATAGAAGTTGTTTCCCTTCGTCTGTTTGTTTTTGCCTCAGTGGAGTGTTTTTGCTCCAGTGAATCAATTCAGGATCTTGTCATTGGAGCAAAGAGTATTTTAGGCTCTTTGATTGAATGATCGAGGCCACAGGGCATGCATGTCATCCTTTGTGATGAAGTTATTCCTTGCTCACTGTCAGTCAAGTGATACTCACAGAAATCACCCATAAAAAGAAATGTAATTCTCAAAAATAATCCTTGGATAATATAAAATAAGCTGAAAAGGCAGAGATGATTGAGTGAGGAACATGTTTGGATGTGACATTTTTTGGCCAGCAGTTAATTTGAAGCTGTAAAATCTTACTGTAAAGAAATTGTGTAGTTTCTGTTAAAATTGTCATAAGTGACACGGATAATATTACTAGCTTCTTTCTGTCTTTCAGCCTTTGCTCCTCATGTCCTAGCCCACCCCCATTTTTCTTGTCAAAAAGTGTTGATCACTAATACTTGGACCTCTCTCTATCACAACCCACACACTCCATCATCATCTGCAGGATCTCACTTGACCCTGATCTCTTTCTCGTACTTTTCCCTTTTTCATACCCCTCATTTTATTCTTGCTGCTTAGGTGTGAAACTACAAAACTCCCTACTCCTCTGTACCAGCTCTCTCTGGTGTGGGTAGATTAAATCTGTCAAGGCCTGAGTTATAAATGAAAATTTTGAACTTTATGGTTACATTATCTTGGTCTCCCTTGAAATATTTGTTATTTTCCTACTCCAACAAGTAGGAGAAATTGTGGCCCAGTAACACTTGAAATGAGTCACCATCCAGCTATGCAAGGTAAATTTGAAAGGCAATGAGCCGTGTTATAAAATCACTCGCACCTTTTGGCCAAAGCTATATGGACTTTTTTTTTTGCAAATGCTCTTCCATTTCTTCTCCAGCATTTTGAGCCCTTACGCCCCCACCCCTGCCCCCCCTGCGCTAACACATTTTCACTGAGCCAACAGATGATGGTAATTACAGTGTGTGAGGGTTCAGTGCTGATGTTGGGGCTGAGCCAGATTGTACCTGATGAATGTATGGAGGCTTGCCAGTTGAAAATTGAGTTAAATTGGGTAAATTAATGTTGTGCGGACATAGCATTTTACTCTAATTTCACGGTACGGCATTAACATGTTATATAGCCATTGTAATTTGTGTGAATTCATGGGAGATACATTATAAAATCATATCATGTCACTTTTTCCACATTACACTGTGCAGCACTAATGTTTGAGGGGTAGTTCACATCCAGGCACTCATACAACAACAGGCATAGTGCGTCATTGTCATATGAAATGTTGATATAAATATGATAAATATGCCATATGTCTCTTGACGTTAACAGCCGTTCTTGAGGTGGAGACTGTACCATCAGGGCTTGTTGAGAATAAATCATGTTTTTGTTATTACTGTGATAATGAGCATTATCAGACGCTAACTGAGGAGTTGTTGACTGGCTCTTGCCATCGCCCGTAAGTGTTTGTTGTTGTTGTTGTTTTTGTTGTTTTCATCTTTCTCTCCTATTTCTTTTGCTCCTGGTGAATCTGTTTGCCACACTCTTTGTGCATCTGTGTTTCCTACAGTTCGCCCCATGTTCTTTCTCTGAGTCTTAGCTTTTACTGCTGTGTTTTTCTCTGGTGCAACATGCAGACACACACACACACACACACACGCATACAAACACAAGCTTTAACACTTTTAATCTGGTGCTTTATTGTTGAATACGTGAATGAACTGTGTCATCAGTAATCAGCATTACACCATCACCTCTGACCATTTGTATTTTCTCCTTTCGTTGGTCTCTTGGCCCTGGCTTCTATAAGTAGCTACAGAAGAATGACGGCATGATAGGTAGAACTAATGATTGTTTTTATTATGATAGTTGCCTCCTTTTTTTTTTGCCTACTTTGTACAGCCAGTGATTTTTTTGTGGTGTTTTTAGGATGGATGAAGTGAAACTCCCTCTGAAAGGAGGGGAAAATGTTTAAATTACTTGTGTGGCAGCAGGCAGCCAGAATGGATGGGGGGGGTGCAATATTATGTGGTCAGAAGCTTGCAGTAAGAAAATCTAATTACTCTGCAGCACCCATTACCTATAGGGTTTGCTCAATACTGTGCCCACGTCTCCTGCGACTTGGGTGTCCTGAATTCACTTGGGTCCCATAGCAAGACTGTGGGTGGGAGCTGCAAAACAGAAAATGATGGTAAATATAACTTGACTTTGAAAGAAAATAAGGCATAACACACTCAAATTGGGACAAACAGAGCACAGTGCAGAGGAGCAAAATTGTACTGCAATTTTTATTTTATTTTTTTTGTGTGAAATCATGGTTAAGAGCAATTTTTGGATCAATGTGAAAAATTAAATCCCTGATTGTTAATGATAATGATGCAGTGACAAAGTGCAAAAAGCACTGTGCACTACCTACCTCATACCAAACGGCAGACAGACAAAATTAGCAACTAGGTGACAAACATAGTGGAGCATTAAGCGCCTGGTATTTCCCTCAGGAGTTGTTGGAAACAGTAACAGCCAAAAAAAAGGGGGAGACAATTCACAAAAAAGTAAACAACAGCTAGATGTTGTTTAATAGACAAAATTAACAGTCGAAGAGTAGTTGATTTTTATTGCTCTGATAATGAATGGGAGATTAATGGAGCCACAAGTGAACTGTGCTGGAGGCAGTTAGATGTGCTGCTATAGCATACACGTCACTTAATGTCTCTGCCATTGTGTTTTTCTGCTTCCTCTTTTGCCCTTGTTATCTCATTAATGACACTTTCCACAGCAAACTGAGCTGTGGTGTGTATATCGTGGAAACTGGAAACAAAATTGCCCATCTTGACTTGAATATGAACACTGCAGTTCCCCTGATAGACAGCTATCTTCATGTTCACTCATGCCATCCCGTGTAGTGAACATAATATGTCTGCAAATAATTCAAAACATCAAGTATGTACAGAATACATCTCCAAGATTGATTGGCAGTTTCCCTGCTGTTCGCCTTTTTCACAGATCCAGAGTGAAATCTTGACATAATGGTTTTCATAACAGTGTGTTTGGCTCTCTCTGCAGACTGCTATGGACCAGCTGCACATGCACTTCACCCAGGCCATCCACAACACAGTGTTCCAAGTGGTGCTGGGATACGTGGAGCTGTGTGCTGGCAACGCTGACACCAAGTTCCAGAAGATGCAATACAAGGACCTGTGCACGGTAAATAGATCTCTGTGTGTGTGTCTGTGTTTGTGTGTGAAAGTGGTTGCTTTCTTGTTGTTGTTGTTGTTGTTGTTGTTGTTGTTGTTGTTGTTGTTGTTCCTCTGTTTCTGTTTCTGTTTCTGTCATTTAACATCTTTCTGCCAGAAAAGATTCAGTTCACTTGATTAGATGCCAGTGTGAAGAAGACTAACCACTCATGCGGTCAGTTAAATAATAAGATACACCACCTGCATAGTGCTGTGATGAAATGACATATGAGGTACTGCTGGGCACACACACCGTCCTCCACCCACACACACACTTTTACTCACAAGCCTCCCTTGGCTTCCTTATTGCCTCGTATCCAAGCGGAAAATGCCCCCCAAGATCAAAATAAATCACATTTGCATGCCCAGTGAGCCATAACTTAGTGATTTCATCATGGACTGGCTGGGAGTGAGTTTTCCTCCCTCAGGGGCTGTGTTACAGTCTGACCTACAGTGTTGAAGGGTATATAGAAGAATGGTTAAAGTTTATCCCAGCCTGATCCGAGGGTACAGTTTGTTTCTTTACGCTCTCTCTTGATATATCAGCTGTCATAGCTCTGACCCTTTAGCTCTATGTTTGGCCTCGCTCTTTTGACTGCACAGTTTTTAACAGGGGCATGGCCGGGGCACTGTGCTTACATCTACAAGCCCTTCTCTTTACCTCTTACCTTTGTGCTACCTCTTCACTCCTCATCTCTTCTTCCCCTGCTTCTTTGTCTCTCTGTTTATGCATGGTTTCCTACCCCGGTTGGTCGGTGGCCTCGGAGGAATGCGTAAAGCCTCTGCATTCCAGGGCAAGGCGTCTTTTGGTCAGTCCCAGGTTGTAGCACCAGAGGCGTCGGTGCTAGCTTGCATTCATGCTGGCAGGCAGGGTGTTTTCTAAAGTTTAGCTGTCACTTCAGGCTAGGTTCGAGAATGTAACTATGATGAAGTGATGCTGATTAAATTTTGATTATTTCCAAGTTGTGGTCTGAATTGTTGTTGGGTGGACGCTTGCGTGTAAAAAAGTTTAGTTTGTTAGCTTGATACCAGTAGCTCCTGTTATAAATGATGTACTTTTACTGGAGTGCACAGCGTGGCTATATGGATGCATCAAAACAGCCACACTTTAGGTATACTGTACTAAAGGATTCTTGACAATAATATCTGTTTCCAGTTTGCTTACAACCATAACTTTAGGTGCATGACCTGTCAGACTATCTGTGCAAGTACTGAATAATCCCTCATTTATATTTCCCTGGTATATAAATAATATTTGAGATTAATATCTAAAAAAACTGGGATTTTTTTTTATAGTGAGATTATCTATAATGTGAGATCGCCTGGGTGTACTGAGTCAAGACCTCAATCAAGCTTGAGATTGAGTTGTGGTAGAAAAAAAAAAAATCCAATACGCGATAAAAGCTTTCTGCATATAGAAATCATGCTTGTTTTTAATCTGTCATCGAAAATGAATTTCGACAGATAAGATAAGACACAGTTCTAGAGGAATTGGGTGTTTCTTTTTATTTTAAGGTTTTTTTTTTTTTTTTTCACAAAAAAAAAAAACTTCTGTATCTTGCAGGTTTTTTGGCAGGAATATTTTTGGGCTGCCTTCCACATTTCAGCTCTATCCATATTTCAGTCTTTCACATGCTTCTGTAATGATGTATGTTGGATATTTTAGACTCAGTACAACAAAACACTCTTCCTCCCTCAAGCTGGAGGAATACAACTGTTCATTCCTTTCTGTTGTTCTCTCTTCGTTGTCGTTCTCTCTTTTCTTTTCCTGTCGACTTAATTGTTATTAGGCTCACTGGAAATCTGTGCAATGGATCCCCCAAATTACTGTGTGCATGCAGCTGTGCATTAGTTACAGACACATGCTTATGTTTACTTGCGTTTGATAGATACTCTGTCAGCACACTGTGTTGCGTGGATGATCCTACTCATACCACAAACGAACACACACACATAGACTGAACGAACTTAAGATTGATGGGATGTGTCGTTGGACTTTCAGCTGTGTGATTGTGATTGATGGGACAGCAGCACACACACATGCACACGCACACACACACACACACAGGCACACACACATGGGCACACTCATATGAAGAGGTTTGTGAACACCCACGTGCAGTTCATCTTTGTCGCTGACAACATTTACAGCCTGTCGGAAGTGTAACGGTGAAGTGTTGTGGTTTGCGTTTACTCCTTATGGTGGATTATTTTATTTAAGGCACTTATGTACCTGCCTGTAAAACATCAAAAGTAGAGCTAACCAAAGAAAGAAATGTCTGTGTGGTTTAAGTGGTACACACACACACACACACACACACACACACACACACACACACACTGGAATGAGGTGTTGAGGTTTTGAAGAGGTGCTAAAAATATGAGGATGGGCTTGAAAGCTGGTCCTGTCTGGGATTCCTGAGTGTTTGAATTGCCCTTCAGTGTCCCTCTCTGCGGTTGTTTGGGATTTTGCAGCAGAGATGCACTCACTGAACTTATTTCCAAGGTCTCCCTGGCTAGTATAAAAAAAAAAAAAATTACATTCTGGTTCAAATCAACAGGCCGGCTAGGGAAATTAGGTATGCAATGCTCTCTGCTCTCTCAACAAATGCTGTTGATCTGCTCTTGAGCAAGGCATTGAATCCTCACCTGCTCCAGTGGAGCTGCTCAGAGGGTGTGTTGATGGTGTGGAGCTGTATCAATAGGAAACTTAGTGTTTGTGGAAAAGAGCAAACTTATTCTGTTGTGGTTCCCCTGATAAATAAAGGTTATCTTAATGTGAGAGCCACTTTAGAAACTCTGGACTTTCCTCTTTGTTATGCAACTTAAAATTCAAAGGAAATGGGAACACTCAGAAAGGTCACTTCTGATCGTGAAAGGGTCTTATTAATTTTACATCAGCATCTCATCATTATTGGCTAGCCTCACTCCTTATCAATCCCCTGGTCTGTCCGATTTTCCTCCTCATGGAAATAAAACACTCCACTCCCAGAATCATGGGGGAAGAGGACGAATACTTCAGTAAATCATTTAACTCGGATGCCGTTAACTTTGTTGTCTGTAGAAACTGTTAGTGGGGCTTTAGTGTTTTAGTTTTATTTTGTTTGTTTTGTTTTTTTTACCAATGTAGTAAAAAAGCCATTAGCTGTAGTGATAATAGAGAAACCATCCTGATAATGTTATTAAACAACTGCTCATCAGTAACCCACAGTGATCCATCCCACTCACCGTTGTGCAGTGCTCCATTATTTTGATATAGGCTGGCCTTTGTTGTTGTATATCTGAAGGATGGGCCATTGTGTGAGATTGTCGTTAAGCAGTGTCATGGTCGTACGCTGTTTTTTGTGTGTTTTTTGCCGACTGTTGCTGCTGATAGCTTCATTATGAAATGAAAGCTATCTACTCCCAAACTGTTTGTCTGTTTTCCCCTCCAGTGGAATCTTATGTTTGACTTTTGATCCTCACACCTGGATACCCATTCATTAGATTTTCTCTTTATGATCTTTATGATGATTGTTGTTTGTTTTCTGGAGAATCTGTGGTTTGAGAAGTGACAGAAAGTTTGTTCCTTTTTATTTCTATGGAGACTTTATAGTCAAGTTTTCATTTGCTATGAATATTGTTTGTGTTATGCTTCACATTAAAGTGCAACAGGAAACAGCAAAAAAATGTTCCAGTGTCAAATCCCCATTCCCTAATCTGCTTTTTAAGTCTGGTAAAAGCACTGTAACAACTGCATGAAATATTAATATAATAAAAAGAAGCAGTGACTTTGCCCCATTGAGATATCAAAAGTATTTTAGTGTTAGCCGCTCCATTTGCTTTTGATAAGATTAAAGGTACTGACTTTGACAACAGAGCCAGTAAGAGGGTTGAATCTTACCCGAGCAACAGAATGAAGCAGATAATGGCAGAACAGCACATAATCTGTTTTTGTTTGTTTTACAAGAGGAGGATGATCTAATTCCAAGTACCTCGTTAGAAGAAGACTTTGCTTTTTCCAAACTTGTCAGTGAATCAGCAAAAACAGGGGAATTTAAAATATTTGTGCACAGATTAGTTTCACGTAGATACATTTCAATGTGTCTACTGTGCTTGCTAACCACAGACTCTCATATTTGCGTGAAGTAACCTTGTCTCAGTCCTGTGCACTTCCCTCCAATATTAAACACTAAACATTTTCTTTGCTCACAGTTCTTAAATGATTCCATTGGAATCTTCTTTTCAGACTTGTTCACCAAGTTGTGATGAAGAGTGTTTGTGTTAGAGAAAGAGAGAAAATTCCTCTCTAGCAGAGTGTACTGTACTTTGTTTCTTTGCTGGCACAGCAGGTCTGCAGATTGCTGACTATGTTTTTGATCTCTTGCAGGTTAATCTTTTTATTTATTCTTTTCTGAAAGGAGGGGGTGTGTGATTGTCTTTTCTGAAAGAAAGTGAATCAGCTAACTTGCGGGTACCTGTGCTGTCTTGTACATCTCTTTTGTAAAGTGTGTGACATTTCTTTCATGCATACTCCTCCGTACTCCCACACACACGACTGAAAAAAATGCACTCAGTGCTTTGTCTTTTCAAACCCATCTGACACAGCTTGGCATATGTTATGAGCATAATGATAGGTAATTATATTCAGAAAAAAAAATGGCTGTTAGATGTAGATCCCGAGCTTGCCTCCCTCAAGCTCTCATCACTGAACTAGAAGGATGTGTCCAGCAAGGTTAATGGTTGGTTCCAGTAAGCAAAAAAAAAAAGTTTTTATTTTTTAAACTTTTTTTTTGTAGCCTTTAACACACACACACACACACACACGCACACACACACACGCATACGCATACACACGCACACACACACACCCGCTGAGGATCTTAGCCCGCACACACACTCAGACCTCTCACCCCCGCGTCATCTCCCCTCAACCCAGTTGCTTGGCAACATGCTCCTGTGATAAGGTTGGCTGGTGGCGAACTGGGAATGTCAAACGCAGGCCTGGTTTTGTCAGAACTGGTTCATTAGCCTACCTATCTGACCACTGGTGCTCGAGCCTACATGTAACTTCAGCCAAGTTTTTCTCTTTTTAGGTTGGGCTCTAAGCACTGGTGCTCAGTTTTACTAGCACAGCTCTGTCATACTAGGACACCTATATATATATAATTTTCTTATGAAAATATTCTTTTATCTTCTGCAATATCCATGTAGCGATGATCCCTTTATATTCAACAGTTATACGCAGTAAGTTGCAAGTTGCTGTGGTTCGAACACAGTAAGTTGTTCAGCCCCATGCAGAACCAACAGAGAACAAAATTGCAGACAGGGAGCAACAACAGTTGCAGTTGTTTAGTGGTTTGTGGTGGTGGATGACAGCCAGTATTTGAATATAATTTTGGACGTCTGCTACTCTTGTATACATGACTGCACATCCTGCAGTTGCCATCATTGCGTCAGACTGCTTTCCTAAAAGAAAAACAAAAACAAAACAAAAAACCAAACTAAACAAAAACAAAGCCTTAACTAAAGAAAATCCACCACATGTATAATTGGTTGAGTGGAATATTCAGCACTGTGAACACTTTGCTGTGGTTGTATAGTTGTAAAGATTTGCTGTTTTGTCATTGAAATGCTTATTTGGAAAAAACTGTGATTAATATCCATTGCAGGTATTATCCTCTCCAGTCTGACTGCAGTTAAATTATATTGTAGACTATCATCCCCAGATGATGCATTAATGTGCTATCGAGAATGGACAATGTGTATTTAACAATGAAATATGCATGAAAGCATCATTTTACCTCCAGTGTTCTGAGCTTTAATACAGCACAGTATACAGTAAAACTGAGTGGTTCTCCCCACTTTAACTTTCAGTTAAACATCAGTTTTCAGTTTTGTTGACTGATAGAATCAATAATATTTCACTCTTTCAGCACCAAATCATCTCTAAGAATCGTGGATCCACGCCTGTTGTGCAATTTAAATGCCACGGGCAACAGCTCTGTCAACATCTTTTTAGATGAAACTTTCTTGCTGATGGCTCACAGTCATGAATCTACTTCAGACGTCTCGCTAAGAAACGCTCTGTTGAGAGATTGTCCTGGCAAGTAATGGTTTGTCACTCAGGCTCTCTCGGACATGCCAGAGCGAAAAGCCAGAAGAAGGTGTGGGACTCATGCTAGTCTTTGCACAGTTGGGGGTCTTTATTGCAATGCACTGTTTTCTTTCTCGGCAGCCACCAGTGTACGGGGCTTGTGCTGTGTAATTCATAATGCTTTTGTGAAAGGTAGCAGGGTTCTACAGACACTTATTCATTATCGTTTTTTTACACAAAGGAAAGTGCGGCTGCTGTCGACAGCACTGTTTCATCTGGCAGTGATTAATTTGTCTGTGAACATGTTGACAGGCCTCTGTTGGCGAGTTGCTCTGTCGAGCCTTGAACTGTGTCAGTGGCTACTGTTGTGCCAACTTCACTTTTCTTAGGTGGTCCAAATTTTAACAGAACACACACAAACCTTTTTTCCAGGCTGTCTGGATATGTGCAGAAAAAATAGCAGTGTGCGTTATCCTCTGAGTATTTTGAGCACTATGATTATGCATAAAGCTCGGTGACAGCGGTTGTGGTTGTTCCATGGATGAAGTGACATTGTTAGATAGGTAGGTAGGTAGACAGTTATTTATTTGTCATAAAGGAGGAGACCTGTGAAATCTTTTAAAATACATTATTATATGAGGCCATTTTACTGGAAGAATAACCATTAATATATTCTTTTCATTTGTAAATGAAGCCTTAATACTCCCATGTACTGTAGGACACAGTGTCTCATTATGAGACGAAATAATAAAGTTGACATCTTATGAAAGCAATAACTCACTTCAGGGTCTGAAGCATATGAACATTATATTACAGCTGATGCACAGACAGTGGTTGGTTATCCACCTACATAGACATGGTATATATCTACAGCACTGGGCATGTTATATGTGTGCTCTTACTTTATATTAAAGAGGCAAAAATCTTATATACGAGTATATGAACAAGTGCTGTTACTATGACAACCATACATTACATTATTGTCCTGAGTATGAATAACTCTGTGACGTCCAGTTGCTTTCGTAAATGACTGCTAAAAGAATCGTTTTAGTCACAGATGATAAAGTTGTGGTATGATATAATGGGCAGTAGTATACTGTAGTAGCCCACCTAATGTGCACGTCTGAGATGTTTTTAATGTTCTGTGTATTGGTGAGGCTCCTGCTTAATAACATCCTTATTTTAATCTGTTCTTACATTAATTAGCTCTTGCATAAGATGAAAGCGTTTTTGTGTCACAGAAAATAGATGTTTTCCAACACACTGTCCTTGAATGATGAGTATAAGCAGGCTTTAATTAGATGTAATATAGAGGACAGCTGATCATGTCCTTTTTTGTCTGGGAATACTTTTATATCCATTAATTTTAAAGTAGTTGGGCACTGTGTGTGTTTCATAACTCTGCATAATATGGCAGAAGCACATATAAAACATGTGACACAGAAATACTCTTAAGGTTTTCAAAGGAGCATCAGTGACCGTGTCTTCATCACCTTTTTGTTGGCAGCATATCACCCTGGACAGCTACATTCCCTGCCTGACGGATCTGTGCAAGGCATTGTGGGAGGTGATGCTGAGCTACCACCGCACCATGCAGTGGCACGAGGAGCACGACAAACAAGAGAACACACCCACTCCAGGTAAGAGACTATCCCTAACAAACCCTATGAGTTTTTCTGAACAAATTTATAATCAGCGGCACTACTCTGTTTGTTCTGATGCAGCATCTCAGCTGAGTGCAGCTACAGATTCAGAGATAAAAGATGTGTGTACCAGATCCCACAGAGGGCGCACATGACTTCCACACTGCTCACACCTTCTGTCTTGCACAAGCTAATATTTGGTGCCTCAAACGCTCCTTCCCTTTTTTTCATTTTCACTCCCCAAATCTCTCTTTGTCACCTGCTTTCTCTCTGTAGTTTTTCATTTAGAGTGTCTCATAAAACACCAAAACTGCTCCCTATACCCCAAGCTGAAAAAGTAATTCACAGATTCAAGTCTACAATGACTTTGTGATATTGGGGTCAACATTCTCCACACTCTCATTTGTGCCACACGTTTATTGGCTGTTTGATTTCAATATACAGTAAGTTTACAGCTTTATAGCTCACAGAAAAGAATAGCTGAGCCATGGTGTATGAGAAGTGAAGAGAAGAAAGCATTGAATGTGTGCTGGTGCTTCAGTGCAGCACGTAGTGTAGTGTAGTGGTACGGACACTGAAGTGGCACATATTTTGCAGCATTTATTAAGCTTTTTTCAGTGCAGAGGTCGTTGAATGAGTCAGTAGCAGAATAATCACTTTTGGTTGTCATTGGTAAAACACCTCTCTGCAGCAGCACAAAGAGATGTGCATTGTATTTTTACAGTTACAGCTTTAAGGTTATACCCCACTGATAATGCAGTGTTTTGTATGCATTATGTTTGCAGCATTATCAGATTTAAATTGGGTTAACTGTCTGTACTAATCACATGAATACAAATTATATTTACACATTATTGAATTTACATGGCAGGATTAGTGTGAGCCAGTGGTATGGCTTCAAGGATAAATATATGTACAGGTGATAAATAATGAATGGTGTATGTTTTTTCTTATGGTAATGTGTCATGTGTGACTTTGAGTTTGTTCTGTTTGCAGGCCAATAGAAACAAGTGTTTCCAATCGAGCTGTAGCAGTTAATAATGAATAACTTAACACAAATGGACAACAGTGAGATTAGAGTAAAATGATCTAATTCATAATACGTAATTGATGTTGTCTGCAGTGACCCTTTTTGACCTTCCAGTGTCATCTAGACTGGCTTTTATCATTTCAGGAAAGAATTGTTTTAGTTTTTTTTTTTTTTTTGACAATAACAGTATAAAGGACACTGACTCCTCCCCTGGAAACTAACTGCACTCAAGTTACAGCCCATTAAGAACAGCAAGACGGCAGTGCACCACATCTGTCCAAACCCAAAGCTTATGTCTGGATCAACAAGTGTGTTGCTGCTTCTATCCATCCTGCCTCCAGTCAGCCGCCAGATGTGAAAACATCAGCCTCGTGAAGCTCTGTTGTCAAGGCAATACATACTTTGTGGTTTAGCAGTAAGCTCCACAGGAAGTTGAATTTCTTACCGGTGTAAGAAAAGAAGCCATGGTGGATTTGGTTTATAGCACTTCTTACCTCATCACTGTTACGATCATTTGTCTTGCCGTAGATGGTGTCAGATATTAGCTGCAAATGGAGGGCTGTCATATTAGCTTGTGCCTTCCTGCACCATATTGAAAGATAGCTCATTTCCATTTTCCATACTGTACTGAATTCATTAGGCGAATGGATGAAGAAACCAGGGGGTCCTGAATTGTTGTTGACATGTTAAGTCCTCAGGATCCTCCTTGCAGGGGAAAGGACACACACCACGTTTCCTTTCATGAGCCCCATCTATCATCTCACTATTTGATTGGCTGTCACCTCCGTTCTCCGTGTAAAGGTGTCCCCGACCCTGGCTCTGTCCTGGCTTTCACCTTTCTCTCTTTATCTCTGTGTGTGTGTGTGTGAGTGTGTGAGTGTGTGTGTGTGTGTGAATAGTCCATCAGAGTAGTGATTTACTATACAAGCTTTGTCTCATTTGTCGAAGAGTATTTTACAGTGACAGTGACCCCCATCTCACACAAGAGGCTTAACAGTCACACCCACTGAAGATCACTCTCTCCCCCCTCTGTCTGTCACACACACACACACACACACACACAAGGACAGACACACCTCTCCCCTCATTAAGAAAGCAAAAAGGGTATCCCATTGAATTTAGAGCTGTGGCCACTTGATATATTGAGCAGGTCAGTCTAACGTTTCAGTAATTAATCTGACCACTTGATGAAAGGAAAGGTTGTTTCAGGAAGCAAAATGGACCAGGGTCATATCCCTACCTGACAGAATGGATTTGCGCCAGAGCACACACCCTGTCATGCTCGATCAGCACTGATGGCCGTCAGGCGCAGGGGTCGCTCCGAGTGTGTGAAAGCATTTGACTGTGTGAGAGTAAATAACCATGACCAGTGCGTGTATCTGTTACATGTTCACTCAGAGTAGGAGCGTGAACCATGCAGACTAATATCGGAATGTATGGTAGCTGTCTGCTCTGCCGTGATAAAGAAAACCATCGGTTTTCAGCACTCGGGCTGAGAATTGGCCTTCACACCTCATTAATGTTCAACATAGTAACATAGCATATAAATGAAACAAGGCAGCATGCTATGTGAAATAACCTATACCAGTACATATTTGTAACTTGTTTTATTTTTGACTGATCCTTTTCATTCTATTTTCTATTCATGCAAATCTCCCTTCCTCTGAGTCAAAATGACATAGCACCGATCTAATCATATACAGTAATTGGATTTATTACAAGCCCTTCAAATGCATCTCTTTTAAAGGGCTTTCAGGTGAGAACTTACATATACAGTACAATGTACATAACTACCAAACCTTTCAACACATTAAGGTTGATATGTGAATTAAAAACAGCATCATTTTATATGCTCAGACTGCACCGAATCACCACTGAATAAAGTAATTAAAAATCCACATGGTGACACGTGTGATGGAATGTAATCCCCTGACGTTAAGTGGGATATATTAACCATGTGGTGCAGTGCAGTTGGGCCAGTGTTTTCCAACTGTGCAGAGCTGGTTTCCAAAAAAAAAAGTTTGTTGTATAAAAAACGTCTCAGCCAGTCTGCATTTTTGAATTTAATTTTCTTATTATTTTTTTGGCATCCTTTAACTCACTGTCATCTGTGGGAAATAGCAGATAATATTTTGAATCCCATTTACAGTGATGAATGTCATGCCATGCCAATACAGTGTGATGAAAGAGCCACGGCTTCCATTTAGATTGTGTTATTATAATATTCAGAAACCAGGAGTCAAGTTTTGACTTCTCTCTTGCTAAACTTTCACAGATTTATGCTAAGTCATGCACAGGCTGCTGTTTTATGAGTCATAGTTTGAAAGCAGTGGGGAGCTAAGGCCCCTGTGGTTGTTTGTCATGTGAGTCATCAAGAACTCCGTTACCCACACTGCCACCAAAGGTCAAACACTGGTTATCACCTCCGGATTTGCAAAGGGTGGCTTTCCCTATCATTTAGTTTTTCCTCCCTCTCTGTCGTAACACTTTTTAATAACCATTATTAAGGCTTTCTCAGCAGTTAACCTGGGGAGGCTGTCCACACCCTCACCAGGTCAACAGTGGGAGACTGTAGTGACACGAACTACAGCAACAACAGCAGAGTATGGGAAACTAATGGTGATTATAGTTGTTGGTGGAAAAGGAACTAGTGAAAAAAAATACTGTTAAACTGTTAAATAGAACAAAAATGTTATAGATTTAGAAATCTTTAGAAATCTGTAAACCATCACATACACTGTACCCTTAATATGTTTTATTAAAGAGAGAGAGAGAGAGAGAGATGAGATTTTAGTTTAAAACCAGTTGAACCTCAACCAGAGGCTCTGTACAGGACTAATCATCAAACGGCTGGAAATTTTGAATAATGATTCTTCTCAGTCATAATTCATTCAAACCTAACCACACAGACAAGATACACATATTTTCAGATTTGGTGTAAACTTACACTTTCTGACATTGTCGTTATGTCTATTGTCCATCGCAAATAAACACCCTTAAATCTGCTTAGAAATCATAGAAAAGGACGCTCCTTAGAACTCCAGAACGATTAATAGTTAGTTTGAAGTTTTGAAGAGTAGAGAACTCTCATTTTTAGTAATGAGAGTATAGTTCAATATTAGTAAATACTACAGTATTTATTAGTAGGCAGTTGGTTACTCCATTAACACATGGAGCCATACTCTTTCTGGCACACCTATAGCTCTCACTTTTGTATCATCAGTTAATCAATCACAACCTTTACTCTCTCACCTTCGTCAGCTTTCGCAACCTTTTATTTTGTATTCTCCAAATTTTCCTGTTCTCTCCTCCTCACACACTCATACTCTCACTACTGACCCTGTGCTCATTAAATGAAACCCAGATATGTCAAGCTGTCATGTCACGATGTCCCCCGAGCTCTCTGTTCTTTTGCCTTTCAGTGAACGATGCAATTGTTTTCAGTTCTGTCTCTATTAATGACTCAAATTACAGCCAGTATTTTAGGGGTCCCAAAGACAGTGTTTAAAAGGGCACTCATTGAAATTCCTAGACACTGTCACAATGTCATTTTTAGAAATCCCGACTAGTTTTGGCTGTAACATGACAGCAGTGTCTGTGCAGGTAATATGAAAGGATGGGAATTTAAAATGCATTATGAGCTCACTCCTCAAGTAATGGAAGAAATCTGAGATGAATAAGAACGTATTTCACATAAATACCAAGGAAACCCAGAAGGTTTATCGCTCATGTCACATCCATTTCTGAGTGTGATGATTGTAATCAGCAGGTGAGTGGAGAAGATAAACGTACATGATAGCGAAGTGCAGCGGTATTCTTGCCAGCCAGAATTTAAACTTGATCAACTGTTATGAAAGTGATATCGCCAAACAATCGTACTTGTTTAGTGCTCAATGTCTGCTTGGATAGAGGAGAGGCTGTCAATCTCCCTAGGGATAAAACCATGATAATAACCGTACGACCATGATGCTGTTCATGAAACAGAGTTCATGGCTTGACGCACTCACAGGATTACTCACAAAGTTTTACTGGAACTGTCTTACTGTTGGACATGGCAACAAAGCTTGTATTTAGCCGTTAAGATTTGTTTTTTAATGCAAGTGCGATAATTTGATTAGTAACAGATGCAGATAATGAAGATTTATGTAGAAAACGTCTTTATACAAGTTGACTTGTATTTGTTTGGACTTAATGATAGGATAGACTTCTTGTTAAGCACCATGTCTTCTTGAACTAATCTTAGACATGGGCTTACCCATTAATAATGTTTAAGGGAAACCCATTGTTCTGATCTATTGCAACAGATAAAACTTGACAGGAATTCCTCTTGAGGATTTTTCTCTCTTTGGTGTATTGAGCCTTCTGTCAGAATCCATATTGAGGCTGAGCAGATCCTTTGTACCGATAATTGCATGCCTCAGAGTACGATTAACACGGGTCCTGTGGGTAAAGTGTTGGTCCGCATGCAGACTGATAAAAAGGAACAATAGAGTCAGAAAGGCAAACTACGCTGCATAGGACAGTTCTTCTTCTGCTTTGTTTCTAAGAGAGAGGTTGGTAGGGATGCTGGTCATTAATGGATGATTGCTAAATCATTATGAAGAGAGTACACCACCAATTTAGTATTGTACCCCTGTAACACTGTCAGAATCACTACGAGCGTAGCAGCAGTGATCAGAGCTCGTGATATGGGCCTGCTGTGAAATATGGAAGGATTTACCCTTCCATATATCAGTACACACCTCAACACCTCACTGTTTCGTACAGGTAAGATCTTCATTTTTTTAACACCTCATGTAGGTGGGTGTAACAAGTCTCAGGAGCGATTCTAGTCTGTGCTTTCTTCGTTTCTTGTCTGTGTCTCTATAAAAGAATACCTGCACACACTCTTAAAGGTTTCTGCGGAGCTTAGATTAATCCTGTTTCATTGATCCCTGCTGAACACTGGCGTCTGAAGTGTTGTACTGGCTTTTTCCCCCAAATGTACACAGTATTTCTTGTATCTTAAGGTTTAGCTTTTCTTTCAACTTCTTGTGATGCTTTTTTTATAGTGTTTTTTTTTTTTTTTTTTTTTTCTTAACAGCACTCTAAAAAATGACCTGACTAACGCTACACTGATTACATCTTGCTTTTGAAACCTTTCTTCAACTGTTCCTGCTCTCTCCTTCTTCCTTCATATTTATATAATTAGATATACACAGAGTGTGGGGGGGGTGTAATAAAATTCATGTTTGTACTGTTTTTTAATGGATATACTTTCTGCTCCAGTGTGTCATTATGAAAACACCCTCACTGCCACTGATGCTAAAGTCAGTGTGACTGTAGAGTTCACTTGTTTTAAAAATAGGCAAAATGGCAAGAGATATTTATCCTCTGCTCAGCTGACAAATACCTCTCCCAGCAGGTCTGGTCTGCAGTGGCTCTGTTTTGACTGCAGCTTGGAGACGTTTGAGTCAAGCTGAGTTAAATTATGTGTTTGTATGGTCAAAGCTTTAGGTCTTTCAACCATCTCGCTGCTGCAGAATAAGAAAAACATTACCCATGATTCATGCCTGTCTCCCTTGTTCTCGCCGACTAATGTGTCTAACATCATCTGGTTTAATGGTTAACGAAGTGCAGTGTTTATGATCTCAAACACAACGAGATCCACACATATTCTGTTAGTGACACATTTACGTTTTTCCTCGGTGCTCTTACACTGAAATCTGAAGTCCAAATTCTTGGAAATTTTTGTCTTTTGAGTGTCTTTCCCATCAATAATCTGCACCCCTTCCCAGCGAACGCCGCACATGGAGATGGATTCACCATCTTGTTTGGTTTGCCTGTAAATATACGTCCTTGGCCAGTGCTTGAAGAATGCTTTTTTTTTTAAACCAGAAGTAAAGGAGGACGTCTTCATAACAGATCCTTCAGCAGAATTTTAGCTTCTTTTTTTTTTTTTTTACTGTGGCTTTTGTCCATGGTGCGATGACTGGAGCTATTTGTTTTTCCCCTGCTTAGAAACTGATGTGGTTGTGTATTTCGACTTGTCACGAGATATTTTATACTGCAATGCCCTCAATGTTAGTTATTAACGACTGAGTTGGTTATCAGGCAGCTGCAGTGGGTGGGGAGGCCTTCCTTCCAACAGATAGAATCAGGTTTGAGGCTCCAGTGTCTACAAGCACCTTCCCTGTTAACGCGTCTTTGAGACACTAAATCCCCAGCAGGAGAGTCGCCCTGCAGCTGACCCGGGCAGCTGGTTTTACTGTAGAATGGAACAGGACCAACAAAATAAGTATCACAGTGTACAAGAGCCCAGGTGTTTTTTTTTTTTTTTTACTGATTCCGCTGTTTTTTTTTTTCATGGATTCTTTTAATTTTTTCCTGTCAAATGTTCAGTCCAGTAACATCCAAAAGGAACATGAACAAGGAGTAATTTATGAAATGATTTAGGATAGATTTTAAAAAAGTATGTATTTAATGTGTAAGTTGTGGCACTTATTCATTTTAAAGGAGGGTTTTCTATGAATAAAAAAAAAAAAAGACACACAAACCATAAAAACAAACATTAACCAGTGGGGTGATCCATGACCGAGATGAGTCTCAGCATTTATCTGTCTTCCTCATACATTAAAGGAATATAATGAGAGATCGACAGCCACCCACTTGTTGACTTAGCAGGCTCGGTGTTGCTGGCTGTCCTGGAAATCCACTTCAAAAAGGGCAAGCAGCTTGAGATTGACTGAAGCAACTTTCAGCTAAAGGAAAATAGTGCAGCTGCTATGACACTATAGCCTCTTCACAACATGCCATTCTATCGGATCGATCAGAGAAAAAAAAGAACTCAAAAGGATATTGAGCTGAAAATAGAAGAGGAAGTATTGTTCACTTGAGATGTTGGTTCCATTGTCTGACAGGACTCAAAACCTTATTTAACTTCCCATCTATTATTGTTCTAATGGTTTCTAGGTCGCTGTCAGTCTTCCCTCTCTTGAGGGACTGTGTGAGCCACGTGCTTTTCAGCTGCTGACTGACAACCACTTATTCTCCAGCTAACATTCAGGCATGGTCTAGCTTACACTGAAGAACTTTTGGCAGAACCAAAGTGGGTCAGATCTGCAGATCAGCTCCATCATATTTCCCTGTTCACCTGAGGAATAACTTTTTTTTTACCATTGTCAAAGGGATATATTTAAGTTGCATCTTGATCAACCCTAACAATAGTCTTTTTTGGCTTTTGTATGAATCCAGGCTTCACTTGCATCCATTCCTTTACCCTTTGAAATACAGCTGGTAAATGAATTCATTTGTGTCGTGTACAAAAAACAGAGACAAACAATTTATAAATGAAATGGATGAGAAGATACAGACTTTTATCAGTTTATTAGGGTTAGGGTTAGGGTTATTATTATTTTGTTTTAAATCCATCTGTGTCTTTGTTTGAATGTTTCTAGACGATGCAGCAGCAGCAGCAGAGTCTGATGAGTTGGTGGTGGACCGCAGCTATGTGAAGAAGAAACTGGAGCATGGACTGACACGGATCTGGCAGGTTTGTAAAGAAGAGTCTGCTTCCCTCTTTCTCTGTCTTTCTCTCTTTGCTTGGTCTGAAGCATGTCTCTTTCTTCCTTTCCACTCCTAGTTTTTCTTTACATATATTTTCTCTTGGATTTCTGCTCAACTCAGCATTGCTCAAGTTCTCCTTCCAAGGATCATCCTGTGCCTCTCATTTCTCTCTTCAGGATGTCCAGTTGAAAGTGAAGGCCTACATCCTGGGGACAGACATGTCTAACTTCAAATACGACGATTTCATAGTGGTACTGGATGTCATCAGCAGGTACACCGCACAGCCAGAGAAGACAGCTCTTCCCTTGTTTCCACTAATTGGTCTTCATTATCTTGCTATCTCTGTCATCTTCTTGTTTTTCTTTTTTCTCTTTCTGAGGATTATCTACTTTGCTTTGCTAGATGAAGAACAATTTTTTGTTTGTTTGTTTTTTTTTATTACTTTCTCTATAGAAGTTGGTAATGTACAATAAAAGACATTTAAAAATACACTGTGTTGGTCTGACAGAACAAAGTCAACAAGAGAACAAACATTTATGTTTAGCCCATCTGAAATTACCAGGTCGAAAGTGTTAACCTAGATTATCATTTGGCTCATTAACACGCTGTTTAAGTTTAAAAATTCACGTCATATCAACATGTTTATCATTTAGATGGAACTATCATATTTGGGGTAAATGCATATGAGAAATTCAGAGAACTCAAGCAAAAAAAAGTAGAGTAGTGAGGTAGAGATTTAGCGGCCTGTAGGTTGTAACAGACGGCAGTGACGGATGACGTTTCAAGGTTACTGCATTATACTTAAAAGAAGAAAATGCTCCAAAGTCAATATCTCTCTCTACCCTGAAGAGTTTCAGTGAGTATTGCAGTGTTTTTCCCTCACTGCTCCTACAGGCTTCAATAAGTATTCCTGGTACATCCACACCCGACTAGGTTTCAGTGGGAAATAGACAGTCTAGCCCATTGTCAGCAGTAAGGTCACTTATACAAAAATGATCTGTCAGATAACGGCCTTACATACCTGAAGGGGATGTCGGAGCTTGAGGAAGCTGTGGTCAGAGGAGAATTGACCATGACTGTGTACAGGTATTTTGAATGATCAGCTGAGACACTGTGGAGAATGTTTGCAGATAACATCCGTGAAACCATCAGGCGTTTAATGAAGCCACTGCGCTGTAGATGAGGTCGTCTTTTCCTATAGTGAGACAGCTGTTTGCCTAGTCAGCTGTGGCAGGTTGAACAGCTCGATGACGTACCTATAAATGTTAAAATGTTGTTTCAGATGGCCTGCTTAGGGTGCAGAATTGTGTGGTCGTTCTTCAACACCACTGCTAACAGTACACTGTCTGTCCCTTGACTGGCATATTAGAGTTACCACACCAAGTCTGTTTACACTGTGTCTCTGTGACCCTGCTGGCTCAGCTGTCATTCAAGCACAAAATGGTCTTCCCCCCAAAGGCTTTGAGGATAAAGGGCTGTTTTTATATGTCCCCAGTAAAAGTTTTTTTTTCTTTATTGAATGATAAAATAATATGAGCAATACCTTTTTAGAAAATCACTTTTGACTGCAAGAAGCAGATTTAAGGATGGTTTATTCGGGAGCGTATTTATAATTTATATAATTAAAACGTTTTTTTTTTTTTTAGAACTTTACTTATAGATAGAAATTGATTAATCAAATCACTGGTGGTGCAGTGGTTGCATCGCTGTGTGCATCTACACGTGTTCTCATTACAGTGCTTCATCTCACTACATGCTCCATCAGATAACAGCCAGATTTATTTTTACAGTGCACTGTAGATTAAATAAATATTTATATATATTTTTCAGTTCATAAAGAATAGTCCCATTGTCTCGACAAATCCCTCTGTCTTACTTCCTTCCTCTCCATGTCCTTCCTTCACCATTGTCTCTGTCACCATTGGTTCCCTTCACCCCTCTCTTTCAGGTTGATGCAGGTGGGTGAGGAGTTCTGTGGCAGCAAGTCAGAGGTCCTGCAGGAGTCTATCAAACGCCAAAGCATCAACTACTTTAAAAACTATCACAGGTAAGATGTTTCCATTGCTTCTACTTGATCATATGAAAGTTAAACTTTAATTCTGTTCATTCACTGAGCTGATAGGATTGATTGTGTGTGGGTAATTAGACCCAGAGTTTATGGGATGGACATTTGCAGCTCCCCCGATACTGAAAGAAAGTGGTGAAATGAAAGTAGGTGGAAAAGATTTTTGGACAGCAGGTTGGCATTGCTTGACAGAAACATTTACACACAATCACTACCATTGTTTGGCTCTAATGCACTCCATTCCCAGTGTAACCGTCTTTGGAGCGTGATTACATGATAACACTCGCTGAGCTGGAAGCACATTTACATCTTGATTACGTACCCCCCCACCTGCCAACCAAATGAATATGCATACCTTTACACAAGACAGCGCCACAACATCAGAGGTAATTTGCATTGAACGGTGATTGTGATTACCTGTCAAGAATCATTGATAAGATGCTTAAATATCAGAAAGCTACAGTATAATACGCTTCATCTTTATGACAAAGGATGGCAAAGCAGTGAGACACAGAGGCATGATGGGATACATCTTTAAATCACAGGTGATAAGATGGAGGTGATCTCAGTGTGAAATTGTAATCGGAATTGAAAAAGACAGTAAGAGGTGACAGACCCACAGAGAGAAGAAGAAGAAGAGGTGGACATACAGCAGCATTATTATTAACCCCTCCACACACACTCTGACATACACACACATTTGCACTGCTGGCCAGGAGGCTTCCAGTGTGCATCATTTTCACATTAGGTTTGATTAATTTTCCAGCTGGGTGTCATTCCCAAACAGATTACCCATCAGTGAACTTTGACTCGCTGATGCCTGGATTTGTCTGTCAGCTGCCTGCAGTGACACGCTCTATCATCGGGCGGGTGTATTGTTGGCCTGCGGGTGGAAACGACAGAGTGAAACCGTCAGGGCTCAGACATGATAAATATGGTATCTAATTTTTTGCACAAACATTAGGTTTTGGTTAGGTCAAAGGTCAAGGTCACAGTGACCTCGCAAAACACGATTTAGGCCTTTTGAATGTAATATATCAGGTTTGTAGCCGTATTCTGGTACATTGGTTTGTTTGTGTCCTAATTTGTTTTTAGCCCTTTTCTGATTAGTTGGTTGGTTTGTCGTATTCTGATAGGTCAGTCTGTAGTTGTATTCTGATTGGTTGATTTGTAGCCATGTTCTGATTGAAACATGGTTTTGGCCTTGTGAACACAATATCTTTGTAACTCTTCAAGGGAATCCCTTCTCATTTTGTACAAATTTCCACTCTACATGGAACTGATTAGATTTTGGTGGTCAAAGGTCAAAGTCACTGTGACCGCACAAACTATGTTTTTAGCCATAACTCAAGAATTAACACAGCAATTATGACAGAATTTCACACGAATGGTTAATATTTTACATGATTCTGGATAAACAGGAATGTAACCAGAAACTAGTCTGAGTGGCAGAGGCATTCAGCGATAAATCAATTATTTTTTCCTAAATCATTTTCTCTGAGGGATGTTTTATTTTGATGTCCTTTAATTCTCAGTGCTTTATATTTCAGAAATATAGCTGTAGGAAAACTGAGCCAGTGTTGGTTAAATATAGGTCATTTAATATGCTACTGTATGTTGAAGTCAACCACAAGTTTTCCCTGTCCCTCTTGTGTTCCACTTTCTATCACCTCTCATACTTCAAACAACTTTAAGACAAGTAACAGGGGGTGGTGCAGTGTTTGAAGTCAACACTGCTCTGACATTTCACACAGAAAGACCTCATATTGACCTCGCGGGTGAGCACCAGGGTGGCTGTCTTGAGCTGTGATCATAGTTAACATGGAAACGTGTCCTCACACACGACTCACACACACACACACACACACACACACACACACACACACACACACACACACACACACGTGCGCGCCAAACACAAAGTGACGTGCGTACACACACACACTAACACACACACTAACACACGTCTTCCTTTTCATTTCGCATCAGTGACCTTTGCAGACTGTGTTTATGTCAGCACATTTAATCTGGCCTCTCAGACCATGGGAGCTGGTTAAATATACGAAATGGCATGAGGTCATTAACGCACAAATGTTGACTTCTTGTATTCTACTTCTTGTTTTTTTTTCTACTCTCAGGGCACGACTGGAAGAGCTAAGGATGTTTCTGGAAAATGAGACATGGGAACTGTGTCCTGTCAAGTCTAACTTTAACATCGCCCAGCTCCATGTGAGTTACAATCACATCACTGAGGCGGGGAAGCGAAGCATGGTGGCTTTCATTTATTCCACACTCCGTCATTCACTGCGCCCCCCCCCCCCCCCACACACACACACACACACACCCCCCAACCCCACTGTGAAATTTGCATAAGGATATGAAACGTGTAGGATTCTGCTCAATGATTTCTGTGTGTGGGTGTGAGGGTGTCTCAGCTTGTGTATCAAGATAGGAAGATTGCGGTTCACTGCACATTATGTAACATAGATGAAGATAAAACGGTTGCTGTCCCTTGTGGCGTGTATGTTTGAGGGCTTTATTTCCCGCTCTCATGAGCAACAGTTAAAAAATAAAAACGTAAACATCAGAGCCCAATGGGGATCATGTACGACCAGCACCAAAATGTATTGGATATATAGTGTAACCAACTCAAAGAAAAGATCATTGTGCTCACAACATGTTCAGCTCACTTCACACTGAAGCAGAAATGATAAATGGACATGAAGAAATGTCAGAAAGATAAATGGACTTAATTCAAAGTTTTTTATCTTTTTCATTTTCTTACATCTTGTTTTCCCCTTCATGTCGTCTTGCTCGGGTACATGTGCAACAAACATGCAAATGAATCTTTGGAATAAACTCACTGGCGTGAGAATGTCTACATTACTTAATGGTACACAGGCAGTGCATTGCGCGGCCGTTCTTACAAGATTATTTAAACTTGCTAAAATGTGCAGCGGTTTGTTACACACATCCCTTCAGGACAAAGCTCATGTTGTGACTGTATATTCTAAATTGTAAACTTTTTGTGAGATTGTATGGTTGATAGAACCTAGAAGTTCTAATATTATTAAATTATTATCAATACAATTATTTTAAATTAAATACAAAACCTCTTTTTCTCCATTTCTTGTCTTTTCTGTCTCATCTTCACCAAACACAAACCTACATCTGTTGTCTTTCAAAGTGTATCTCTGTCCCATCTTCTCCAAACCAGGAGTTTAAGTTCATGGGCCAGTGTCGCTCTCCATCCGTCTCCCCGAGCAGACAGGCCGTGACCTCGTCCACCCTGGCCCAGGAGGAGCTGTCTCTGTTCCAGCAGTACCTTCAGGAGGGAAACCCATTCGAGATGCACATCGAGCACAAAGAGGAGGAGACGGAGGATGTGCTGGCATCTAACGGGGTAAGTGCCATAGAAGGGCAGTTGCACAAAAACACATGCTTCCAATTAATGCTTTCTTAATGGTTTAGATCATCATTCATTTATCATTGTATTAGTGTGAAATGTTCATTGCCCTATGAAAACAATTATGAATAGTTGTTTTAACTCATAGTTGCTGTCATATCTGCTGATGCAGCTGCTGATGGAAGTTTTTCATTGCCAGCAGTTGGATACTGTTCAACTGCGTACATAAGTATGTCCAATTAGCAAGGCCACCTATTGAGGTAAAACACCAAACAAGTTGATAAAGAGACAAGTTGATTAATTGGGGCGTAATCACTGTGGGTCATTAAGTGGTTTACAGCGGCCCTCAAGCTGTCATCAGCAGGGCCCTAACAAACTTTTATTAACAGCGCAGGGCCAGCAGTGCAGAACCTGCCATGATTATTAAAGCACTTTGATAAATCGTCTGATATGTCGTATAAGCTGTCAAATAGCAAATCTGTAGGAAGCTCCAGCGTAGGGCCAATGTTTAAACACTGAGAGTAGAGCTGAATGTAATAATTTGGCATCTTTGTCATGTAGTCATTTTTTATGATTCTTCTTGCTCTTCATCCTTCAGGATTCAATAATCTTCCCCAGGAAAGCAATACTCCCTAGTATGCTATTTTAGTGTCGGATTTAGTATCCAGCCCTCCAGTATTGGAAACCTTTTTATTTCCTAATTTTCCACTCTGTGTTTTGTATTAAATATAAATAGGCAGCACTTTATCTGAAAAGACATGTAAAAGTATGGTGCCTTTCAGTTTTGCAGGCAGTCTGTGTTGCCCAGTGAAACTATCAGGCCTACCACTTTGGCACCATACATAATTAACAGAGAAGCGAAACTGTCTCACTATACATCTATCAGTATGCTTTGTAAGACCAGCTATGCTTGAATTGGGGAGAGCGTTGGGTTTTTATATCATCCACCAACCGACACACAAACTAAGCGCTTCTGCAAATATAAAAGCACAATGGCCACTGCATTTATCATTATAGTAAAACGGCAACCAAACAGTGGCTACTGCTGTGTGGATAAAAAGGAGCAGGAGAATCAGTGTATGTTCACTAGCAAGGTGCTGTTAGCAGTGTCAGTAGTCCTCTTGTTCCTTGAGGCAAACTTTAAGTCTGACACAGGTGCAGCGACACCTGACACATCGCCCACTTTTTTATATGGATATGTTTTCCTCTCAGGCTCAACATCAAAACCAATATTGCACTATCTACAATATGGGGCTTACCAAGGGCCTAGCTTGGCTCGCTCTTAAGCTTGTAATCCTTTCTATATGGCTGTTGTGTTGCCTCAACTTGCACATAAGGACAAAGAAAATATTGTCTTATTTCAGGGCTTTACCTGAACTCTCCTCTGAGAGGTGAATGAATTTTCTGCTTTTATCCCTCAAGCGAGTGGTTTCATGGTTTTGCACTCATCAGAGCTAAAAGATGCGGGTGTAATTTTTTTTTTTTTTTGTTAATCAACTTTTAAATGTTTTAATCGCATGGTTCTCTTTTTGAGTAGCCAGTTTGTATTTTGTGTTATTTTAAAATCTTTGTGATCTTTCATCGTAGTGTGTTATCTGATCAACAGCAGTGACACAATTTACCCATGGCATCAAATCTTTTTCACACTTATCTCCCACAACTGGTGATGTGTTATGAAAGTTTCACAGCATGTTATAACAACATTTGACTTGTTTTTGTCCCTTTTCTTCCCCTCATCTCTACTGTATTTCTTCTTTGCACTGGTGCTTTGACCGCCATTTTTAGCGTGACCTCCGTCTGATCTTTCTCTTCCCTTTTTCTCAAGTATGAGTCGGATGAGCTGGAGAAGAGTGTGTATCAGGATTACGACAGCGACAGTGATGTTCCTGAGGAGCTCAAGCAGGACTACGTGGACGAGCAGACGGGTGACGCCCCTCTTAAGAGGTCAGTTCCAAGTCAGATTATTTTAGACCTCTCTGTAGGCGCACGGCTCAGCGGATGACAAGTGAAGTCCCGTGGTATATCCAGGTGTCCATCATTTCTACTCCGCTTCAGATTTCTGAAAGAAAATAAACATTTCACATTATTCACACACACAAAATAAAATAATCTTTTAAAGAGGTTCTAAAAGGATGTGAAGTCACACATTACCCCACTTTATATGCATTTAGCAATGATGATTTTAGCTCACCTCTGCCTTACCCTGCTAAGTAAGTGTGGGCGGGGGTGGGAAGAAAGAGAAATTTTCATGGGTAGACAAAAAGCTTTATAGAAGCTTTTTGTCTACCCATGAAAATTTCTTCCCACCCCCGCCCACATGATTGAAAGACTAGTCGCTGTTTAATAACTGCGGGGGCAATCATGTGCTCCTGTGCACCGCGTGTAAAAGGATTTATTTTCATTTGAAAGAGAAATTTGAATGCTATTGAGGAAAAATATGTTATCTTATCATCAGTGTTAAAATCTTAGTATGATTTATGCGAACAATCTTCGCATGGTATAGCTGTAATTATTAGGTCATCCTCTCAAATTGATGTGGTGGGCGTCATAAATAACCACATAAATTTGGATGATTTTGATGCAGCATATTGGAGTTATGAATTTTAGAACCACCTGTGTTCAGTTTGGTGTATCTCCTTCAATAAACCTACTGTGCTTTATGTGCATGTGGTGGAGAGAGTTACTGAGAATCTAAGATTGTGCATGTGTAGGTGTATTTATTCATATCTGAGAGCTGACGTCAAGTTTTACACCAGATTGATGTACGAGAAACAAGAAACATAATACTATTACTTATTCAGTAGCTCCCCATTACAGAGGCATAATTATAACGATCATTTCCTGTCATGTAATGTGCAGTGACTTATTAATGCTATGTGATGTTTGTGCTCAGTGTCGGCTCATTATTTCACAGGTCTGACATGCTTGATATTTTTGCTTTAGCTCTCACCACATTTCCAGACATTAGCCTATAGTCACTAAAATGCTAATTTCCTACTTTTATAAGCAGGAACCACTAACAGTTAATTATTGGATGGGTCGCATGATCACATCCAGAAATTACACAGCCCATGTAATGATTGCCGGATAATATGGCTCAATGATCAGTGTCAGGGGTCTGGTACTGCAGGATCACCAGTTCATAGACTTTACCACCGGGGTCTTTCTATGTCTCCTGCATTGTCTAATGAGTTCTGATTGATCAATTACAAGAGTTTGACCCGCACTAAGGTTTTGAACCTATGCGATCGTTGTAGAGGATTAGTGATGTTAACACATATTACTGGGTCTTTCTTATTCTCATGTTTCTGCCCTACTTTCTCTTTCACCCCATCACCCCTCCTCCTGAACACATCAGTGTGTCCCGCGAGACCATAAGAAGCAAGAAAAAGTCTGACTACAACCTCAACAAAACCAATGCACCAATCCTCACCAACACCACCCTCAACGTCATCCGGCTTGTTGGTGAGTCCTACACACACATACACACTCCACCACTTACCTCTCCTTGAGAGTGGCCCAGACTCACAGCCACAGTGGGTGTCGATCTCTGGCCTGCTGAGATTTCCATTTATTCACCAATTAAGCTAACAGCTCATTGTGGCCGACATGCTCAGGTGTGACTGAGCTGCACTAATAATGGTTAGCCCTCGCCCTGAGCGCTGACCTTTAGTTTCCAAAGAGGTGCTGACACGTCTTGGTGACATGGCTGTTAGGACACCGGGTCCCATCGTTGGAAGACCGTGCCCTTTAGTGATGTGACCCCCTTGATGTGATTTTCATGCGTGAAGCGGAATAAGAGTAGGCAGTTACCTTTCCTGAGTGGTCCTGTGGCTGAATAAAACTTTTATTATATGAATTCATGTAATAGCTCAGGCTGATACAGATTCTTAGCATTACAAAAGATTTCTGGTTACTACAAGTTTTCAGAAGAAATGTTTGTCCCTCCTCTGTTCATACATCGAACCGTTTCCTGCACCTACAGGACAAAATGAAATAACAGTTTGTTTGTTTTTGGTCACACAATAGGTAATATCGATTTAGAGCGATGTGAAAAAAAAGAAAAGTTTTATTCCAAGCAGTCACTTCTAATTCAGTCTGTGCTGCTCTTTGATGGAGTTAGATCGCTCCCTGGGTCCTCGTGCAGAATTCAGGAGAAAGGGCGTGAAAAATGGGAGTGTTGGAGAAATAACCAGCTAGATTGAGTTTATTTTCTCTTTTTTTTCCTCCAATCATCAGTTCTGAGTCAGTGGTAACCTTGTTACACCCCTGAACCTCTGCACTTATTTCTTTTATTACCTTCCTGTTAAATGAAATCCTTGCCCTCAAGTGTATGTAAATGCAGTGTGTTCCAAGTAAAGTTCCTCCCTAAAGGATGTAGTTCCACTGCTCCGCTAGTATTACTTACTCTAGATTTACTTAAGAACAGAACCATTTCATTCATTGTAAACTGATATTTCACCGAATCTGTCACACTCTGCTATACAATCGGGGACACATAGAGCTTGTCCAACAAACCCATATTTCTGGTAACTTCTGGTTTGTGTCCTCTCCGTACAGGAAAGTACATGCAGATGATGAACATCCTGAAGCCGATCGCCTTTGACGTCATCCACTGTGTGTCACAGCTCTTTGACTACTACCTGTACGCTGTATACACCTTCTTTGGACGCAATGACATGGTACAGTATTTCTGATCAATTCGGCTGTTTGATTGCACAAGAGCAATAATACTGAGAGGCAAAACACACACTCACAGTACATTGAATGTACTAGACCTCCAACAAAACCTTGTGACTGAACCCATTTGGCCTGTTCTAATGTCAACCACTGTCACTTTTTACATGTGTGACTGTGTCCATGGTTACCACACTGTACAATACACTGAACTTATAACCTTGAGTTCACCACAAACTGATCACGTCATTTGATGTGCATCAGTTAACACACCAGCACACACATTGTACAGACAGAACTACCAGTCAGACTACAAACGTCAAGGTGCTGCCAGTGTGTATGTGTGTGTGTTTATATAACAACACATGGCATAAAGGTTTAAGGTGCCAGCAATGCACCACAACATCCCCAGTTTAAGTTTGTTTCTTGTTTGTTTTTGTTTTTTTCCTCTGAAGTGAATGTAACTACTTATACTACTATAAAAGCTACTTAAAATTACTTCTGCTGCAACGGTGTTATGATGCTTTAAGAAAATTGCCTGTATTTATTGTATCTAAAGATGGATTTTGCCATTTTTAATGTTTGATAGATCATGTACAGCGAGACAGGGGATAACTGCTGTTTCCATCTTTTCTCATCGCTGTCTGTCTCACAAGAAAAAATTCCAGCTGAGCGATAGGTTACAGTCTGTGAGCCCAGTCTCCCCCACTCCATCTAAAGACTATCATGTCATTTATACTGTGCCTCACAAAGAAAGAAAACAGCATTTGTGTCACCATCGCCCTCAGGGAAGTGGTAATGATAGCAACAAAATGACTTCTGTCCCATCGAGGTGGGAAGAGATGAAAAGGATAAACGCTCTGCGGGGGCCGCTCCAGTACAGATTATTGGTGTGTTTGTGTGTGTGTGTGTCACGGGGGGGGGGCACACTGGTTGCATGTTGTCAGCTTGTCAGGAGGTGTTTTTTTTTCTCATGTGCCTCCATTTGACCACTGAGTGCCTATGAACAGTATTTGAGTGTGTTTCTATCACATTCTTCATGCCTTTATTCGTATCAGTCCTTCTCCATGACACTGTCTTCCTTGTCTTAATCTCTCTTTTCCTTTACACATGTGCTGTATGTCATTTTTCTCAGATGAGCCTGCTCCTTTCCTCCCATCTTCATTTTCATCTTTTCTCCCATGTCTTTAATCTTGTATGCTCTGTTCCTTCCACATGGCATCGCTGCTCTTTTTATCCCTTGCACTTTTTTTCTCTCACTACCCCCATGCCGCTCTCTATCTCTTTGTCTTCATCTCTCTGAAACTCTCACTTTCTCTTTTTTCCCTCTGTACCACTAGTCCTCATTAAGTATCACTTCATGAACCCACCCATTTCATTAATGGCCTCACTCAGAGAGGCACCTACACTAAAATGCTAATGTCCCCATGAATCTTTAAAAAGCTGCTAGAGAATACTTTGCACATATGCTGGTATTTTGACCTAGGCTCCGCTTCTCTTTACAGCGCTGGAATCAAGATGGACTGCTTGACTTCTCTATGTGCAGAGTAATGGTTGTCATTAATATTCAAAAGGGTAAATACCCCCATTATCTGTGTATATTGGCCCTGTCAAGTCGAGCTGCACTACTGACTCTGTCACACATAAAAATGCGATGCAATATGTGGCGTGCTCCCAGATTCTCCATCACCATTGATAAACAGGCTTTCGACTGTTGGTATTGGGAGAGGCAGGTTTGCAAACCCATTTTTGGAAAAGTGATTTATGTTTCAAAAAGCTGTGCCCCGTGGGAATAACTTGGAGTGTCTTGTCTAGGAAGAGACAGAAGAAGGATATAGTGAGGGGGGAAAAAAAAGCGGCAAGACAGAGAGATGTGAATTGAAGGATGCACGAAAGATAAAGATGGATGAGTACGTACCGCGTCGCTCTGTTTTGCAATATGATGGCAGAGAGAGGGGAGGAGAGGGACTGGCTACCAAAACAGAGAAGAAGGAAACAGGTGCTGAGACAGACCTGCAGAGGGAGAAAAAGAGAGTCAGGAAAGTATGTGACACTTGAACAAATGACTTCTCTGAAATATGAGCAATAATTTTTATTCTCGACTCCTGACTCCCACAGACAGGTCTTCACACTGGGTGCTATTCATCTTGCATGCACATGTGCAAGTCAGAGTGTTTATACCGACAGAGTCACCGATGACCTATGATAAAACCCCCCCCACACCCTCGCAAATGCATTCTGTCTTCTTTTAGATAATTGAACAAGGCTGATTTAAGACTCTTATCTCACATACTGATTCTTCACTGATGGCCAAGAGCTGGACTTGAAATTTCCTCCTCTAATGCAAAGCTGTTTAGGCCAGGTAACTGAGGGGGCACTTCTTCAAAGTTTGAGGACACAAAAGAAACAGATTTTAAAACGGTGGTCAAAACATCTATTATGGTTTAAATGCTCCAAATAGGGTTGATAAAATTTCCCACAATGCATTGAAATTGCATATTTGTTTACATAACCTTGATGACATTTTGTTTTTGTTTTTTGTTTCTTTTCCACAGGCTGTGTGGTACTTCTTGTGATAAGTAAACTGAACTTCACATACAAAATCCGTGGAATGCCCCTTTAACGTGTTTATTTGTCAACTATATTGTTTTACCATTTTACCATGTGCACACCTGTACAGTTCACAGTGAGTAGTGGACCTCTACATGTCACATGGACATAGACTGAAGCACATATTGTTTCCTTGTCTTTTTTTTTTTTTTTAATTTAATTAAGCGTCAATTTGACTGCTGATTTTGAATGGACCATTTTATATAACCTTAGGATTGGTCACGTTCTGTCATAAATATCTCGATCAGTAGCAAGTTCATGGTGCATCTGAAAAAAAGTGTCAGTGCAAATTAGTGTGTGGACACCACCGGACACTACACAACAAGAAGTACATTGTTTCCTAGTAACAAGGTTCAACGATATTTGGATATTTCCTTACCACACCTGGCTGATCAGCAGTTTCTGATCAGTTATAGTCTATCTGTGGTTCTGCAATTAAAGACCATTTAAATGTGAGAAAAGAATACTTGTACAAGATTAATTCTATCCGTTACTTCCATAAATCTAATTCTGTTCCTTTGTTTGCTTCTTTCTCTATGCATTTTTTTGAATTCTGTAAGACTTTCTCAACATTGTTTGTTTTTTAATTTGAACTTTTGCTTCTTCTTTTTCCTGCCTGCTTTTCCATCCATAGCCTGTCCCAAGCCCGTCTTTGTCAACTCGTAGTGGCAGAGAGGTGGGTCCTGCCTCGGTGGTGGGCCCTGCTTGTTTGGTAAGAGTAGACCCAGAAGTGTTTTGACCTATGCACAGGGTCGTACTCGCTTTTTGAGTCCAAACTACTAATCAACACTTGGTTGACTGGTAGTTTGGTTGGCTGATTGTGGTTGATTTGAAGCTCTTAAGCTGTGTGTGATTTGCTTCCTTGGAGTGACATCAAGCACATCTGAAATTGATTTCAGAGGCATTTAGATGTTGAGTTTGAGCTTTTGAGCTTTCACCCTCTCCACACTCCTCTTTTACCTCTCGTCTCTCATCTGCTGTAGCCGGTGTGATTGTCTGACACTGATGTCTGTTCCTCCCAGTTGCTCCACCCTCTTTTGGATGAGAGTCGGCTAGAAGCAGAAAGTAAAGATTCTCTTGTCTCGTGAGATGAGAGCAGGTGTAGCCGTGCGTGTGTGCGTGCGTGCGTGTGTGTGCCTGTGCGTGCGTGGTTGCTGTCACACTCTGTTCTCATAGAGGTAGATGCGTGTGCACGGTGCAGACACTAACTGTGTGTGTGTGTGTGTGTGTTTATGTGTGTGTATTCTACAGTATGAGTCATCGGGTCTGGGCCTTATCAGCAGCAGACTGAGAACCACACTGAACCGGATCCAGGAGAGCCTCATTGACATGGTAAGACTGGCTGTAACTTCAACCTCCTCCCTTCACGTCCTTATGTTCATCTCTCCTCTTTATGCCTCTCCCCCTGTTTTTATGTCCATCCACTCCATCCATCATCCACATGTGTGGTCTTATTGTTGAGAGAGCCCAAAGCACGTGTCAGCAGAAAATGCATTATGGGTCGTCATTATCTGGCCAGTGGTCGCTCACACATTCACACACCTCCTTTTGTTTAAGTGGCCCCAGCAGGGTGGATGTGTGTGTTACTCCATTAGGGCCCTCAATCACTGCTCCCTTCTGTAATACTACATAGAGACAATTAGTCTGGTCCAGTCCACACTCTCACTTTTTAGGCTGATAGTGTATCAGCCTACAATGTGTCTCCTCTCTGTTATATGATGATACTACTGTTATCTCTCACTTCTGCCTTTCATTCGTCTCCATATTAAACAGCCTTCTTGGCGTGTGTTGAGAGAAACCAGACTTGGATTTTAATCTGCCACTGAAGTGTTGCTCCCCTGGAGACAAATATGAAATTCTGTTGATATTTTGTCGTGTTTTTCTTTAATATTTTTAGTGAGAAAAAACAATAAGTTGTGTCCCATGAGTCTAATTATGGTAGAAGTGGGAATGAATGGCTCACTGAAGTCATATTTTAGTGAATTCAAATGTGAATGCTAAGAATCAACAGACCTCTTTATTCATTTAAAAATGTAATCATTTATTTACGAATGAGGTATTTTAAGTGCAAAGAGATCACCATTACTTATGCATTATATTCGATTTTTATCATATGTCACAAGTTGTGACTCACAGTACTCCATCTCCTCTGAAAATGAAAAAGAAAATGTACTTTTTCCCATGGTGAGATCCTGAATAATGTTTCATTTTTTATTTTCTAAGGACTGGTGGATATTTTTGTCAGTCTGTCTCTCTCTCTTGAATATCCTTTCTAATTTCATTTGTACATTCACATCACGCCAGGCTGTGGGACTCTCTGTTAAAGTTAGAAATTTTTTGTTTCTGGTTCTGACTTCTGTTTTGACTTTTAGAAAAGATCTGGCATTAACTTGATCATGGATTTGGGCTGTGCTATGATCAGAGTTTACAGTGTGCATATATTATCGGGGGTTGTCAGCTGTTACTGCCAATAACAACCTAATGACAAGCTGTCACGGCAACCATTAACATTAATGTAGAACGCATTAGAATATAAATCGAGGTGAATGGAACTGAATTGTTGCCTTTGCACGTAGATATAATCAGCAGTTTTCCACAGTAGCAACCACACACCATCCAAAGCGCTTTTTTAAAGCATTTATTTGACAGTGTAGCATAATGGCATTTTAGCAGTGCTAGCTACTTGGCTGTAATGTTCATAGCTGAGCGATGCAGGGGTGACCTGAGGAAAAGGAAAAAACAAGAGGGAAAATGAAGCAGGAGGACAGAGGGAAGAAAATGGATAAAAGTCAGAAAACCCAGAAAAGAGTGATCAATTATCAAAACTTTCAATTGTGTTCAGCAGTGTAATGCAGCAACATGTTTTCTCCCGGTGGGGGGCACTATAGCAGCTATTTACACCTCAGTAATTTTCTGGCTAAATTGTGAGCTATTTTCAAACGTCAGACGAGCTGCGGCTGATGAGCTCAGTGCTCAGCTGCCTTCTGTGGAGAATATGTTTATTCTCTGAACTGCTCAATTGATCAAATGGACACGGACAGACAAATGAAGAGACTAGGTGGAGAGAGAGCGAGAGAGAGAACAGAAGAGTGTGATGCAGCGTACGGAGACATTTGTGGGTTTCTGTGAGAGAGAGTGCGAGTTCTCTCAGGAGACAAAACGGTGCTAAACCTAAACCACATGCATGCACACACACACACACACACACACATCTCAGATGAACATAATCATATCAATTTGTGGCCGTCTCAGGCTGCCTGATTAAGACCATCTCAGAGGGGGGCTTGTAACTACTCTCTAATGCTTTTATTCTGTCCTTTCGCATATGCAAAACTAGTTTAGCTCATCTAGATAAATCTTCGTATGTTGGAAAAATGCCCTATTTTCCAAACTAGCAAAGCACTCCCTAGTTTTTTTCACCACTGTCTCGCTCTCCTGCTCTTCTGTGTTACACATCATGACCTGCACACATAAATCACACGTACACACACTCTTCTACTAAAAGTATTAATATACATTGGCTGTGTATACCTGTTGATATTTGTGTAGCGCTCTCATTTCCAGAATGGTTTTATTGGATGTGGGGACATATGGATTATAAATCCCTCTTTTTTTAGGAGGGACTTCACTCCATAGTGAAAATCTACATATATTCACGTAGAGCATACAAACGCACTCTTCCACTTGCATACAAATACACACACCCACACACTCGAGAGATTGCGGCAGGGTAGACCTCATTTGTAAACAGATTCTAAAGTTAATTGCACGCTGCATTTCAATTGAGCTGCCGAATCCTTGCGGTTTTGTTCCCCTGATTTGCTGTCGCAACTGTTTGATTCCAAAACCAATGTGCTGGTAATGACTCAGTGTCCCATATGAACAGCAGCAAGATTCCATCTCATCTCATCGTAGGTGCAGAGTGGCTTCAGCATAAACTGGGAGCTCCGTGGGGAAAAAGTAAAAGATCATCCCCTCGTTTATGTTCTATTTCCCTGCCTCCCGTATTCTTGATTACCTTTCTGAAACCCCTGTTGCTTGCCAGGTTTTGACAGTTTTCATTTTGAGTTCACTCACTTTGGCTTTGAATATTTCATTTAGAGTGTTTGCAGGTTGTGAGGTTAGGGAGAAACTTCTGAGAGTGGCAGAGGTGTAATTGCCTTGTTCAAATATTCAACATTTTCCACAAAACACTTGTTACATAATGTTTGATCATGTGCGCTGCCATATGTCATCTTTACCTGAATGTGAGGCTTGTTTCACTGGAAAGGAGTCAGCTTGCTTACAATCCTTGCTTAGAAAAATTCATATCCTCTGGTGATGCAGCTCGGGGCAGGTTGGGTGACAGTGCCATATCAGAATAATGCCATGAACCTCATCTGTGGCCATATTGTCGCTGCCAGAAAGTTCAGCTGTGACAGCTGTTGAGTCACTGCTGCGGGCAACATTGTGAAGAGAGCTGACACAAGTTAGCATTTCCAGTGAAGGCCACCACTGGCTCACAGTCATTTTACTTCTCTCACTATATAAACCACTAGTATTTACTCTGTCAGTTCATTTTTCTCTCTCATTCCTTTCATTTTATTTTCCTTCACTTTTCCTCCTTCCATCTTATCTGTTTCTCCTATCGCCTCCTTCTCTTCCGCAGCTGTGTGTGCCAGTGATTACATGCCTCTCAGCTCTCAGCACAAATAACTTCTTGTATCGTTCCACATAGTTTATTGCTGCTTCTGACTGAATATACAATGGCGTGTTTGTATGTGTGTCCATTTCAGTGTTCACCATCGGCCCAGGCATGAAGATAAGATCACCTGGAAATTATGTTTGATTTCCTTTTTCTCTGTTTGATTCGAGTCTTACAATTGCTCAAGTCAACCCACAATTGTGTGATTTTGTTGATTAGGTGTGTGTGTGTTGGTGTGTGCATCTGCCTGTTTATGGGTCCGCAGCTTTAGCGCAGAGTGAGGCTCAGGCTTCCTCATGCCTGGCACTGAAACAGGAATGAGGAGTCGGGTAATTTCTGTGTTGGCACCAATAGTCTGGCAGTGGGTACCTCTAGATACGTACACAAAAACACACACTAACGGACAAGAAAACATACATATACCAAGAATTTACGATTTGAACTTTAACAAACAAACTAACACACGCAGGTATGTCGTCCTACTGTACATAATTTCAACACTGAACACTGTCCAACACACTTTTCATCCTGCCCGTCTCCCAGTGGCAGGGTGATAATCCCTAAGCATGTGGTGTGGTTGTGGTTTGCTACACTGGTTTGGCGCAGCTGACACACACTGGCGCGCTGCCCCTCATGAGTGGCACTGGCTAATGTCACACGCGCATAAACACTGGCTACATTGTCTCATACACACACACACACACACACACACACACACACCACACGCTGAACCCAGTCATTAGTTCTGCGTCTCTCATGAGGGCACATCACTGTCGGGGCTGGTGTCTTTGTTGGGGCCTGCTGTCTCACTCTGTGAATGGTGCGACCAGCCAGAGGGGATTGCCATTTGACAGGGATTATACATCATAATTAAGCTCCATGGTGAGATCTTTATGCTGTAGTTGTCAGGATATCACAAGTATTGACATTTTGTGGGGGTTTCAGCGGATCACACACACACACACACACACACACACACACACACACACACACACACACACACACTTCATTGATAGGCCCAGCTGCAGGTCATGCTCCTCAGCCGTGATGGGGAAACAGTTGATCCCCATAGATACAGCAACTCAGCTTCCTGTCTGCAACTTCTGCCCATGACTCACCACATGTCCCGGTGCGGCGAACACGGCAGAATTACACACTTTAATTTAAATACTTTCATTTGTATTGTGAATTTCTGTTTTTCCCAGCACCGTGTGCTTCAGTTTGGGCCATTCATGTTCAATTTTCCTAATTCAAGCAAGATATTTTCTTCGTTTATCTTGGTTATTTTGTCATCCTGAAGCAGGTGAGCGGACCAGCAGCTACGGGAAAGGAAGTTTCCAGATAGGTTTATAGGGGTCGGGAGGTGTCGCACAAAATAAATGAAAGTCCTAATTCCATTTGACATTTATCTAATGAGAACCAAATTTCTAGTATTAGAGTGACAAAGAGGTGCAATAGGATCCACTTGACAGTAATTGCCTAGCAGCCAGTACACTCAACTTGGCCATAAATCTCCATGGAATGGGTTGGAGAGGAGTAAGCAGTCAATCAGGATAGATTGAGACACTTCAACTGAGAGATCACTTTTCAACTCCCAGCTAGGAGTTTCCTTCATGACAAGGGTGATCACAGAGTTATCAAGGTCTTA